TCCTGCTTGTAACAGCTTACCATCTCATTGTTTACCATCGCACACTCCGAAGACCAGAGATAAAGATACAGGGAATGGTGGAACTAATACAAATATGGGAAAGTTTGGGACGATTGATTCTGTATTGAGCGAAATCCCAATGTCGGTGCCTTCTGCTGAAATGAGCTTGAATCAAGATGATGAAGTGGTGCCTTGGTTGAACTATCCGGTGGATCAATCTCTACACAATGAATATTCCGATTTCTTGCCTGAATTATCTGGGGTCACTGTAAATGAGACTTCTACTCATAGTAACTTTGCATCATTTGATAGAAGAAGCCAATCCATTAGAGATTCCTGCACTGTTTCTCTAAATAATGGTGAGGTTTTTGAACAAGGAAATCCATCAAAGGTTCCTACACCAGCAGATGAAGAAGCTAGGCCTACAAGTGGTGCCAGTCAATTATCCACGCTGCCATCACAGCTATGTCAAACGTCATCCCCATTTGTAAGATCAAGAATTTTGGAGAATTTTGGTCATAGCCTGGGTCATACCTCCACCCACCATGCCATTTGTGGAGATTCAATTGAAGTTCAAGCATCAGATGGTGGTTTGCCTGGCATTAAGATGCAGAAACAAGATCAAGCAGCGCCTTGTAATAACACAGTCTTGATGAATTTTTCCCATTTTTCACGTCCTGCTGCTCTTGTTAAAGCTAGTCTTCAGAATATAAGTGCTATAGCTAGCATTGAAAGGATTGGAAGCAAGGAAAAGGGGTCTGCTGCCAGTATTAGTGACCGTGCTGATACCACGCTCATTGATTCAAGTATTGATTTACAGAAGGAAAAATTTTCACAGTGCCAACCTACGATGGTGCTGATGAAGACTGATAGAAAAGAATCTGAAGCTAAGTCTCTAGATGAACCAGTTACTGCTGAACCAATTGATGCCATCTGTGAAGAAAATGCCCCCAAGAATGTTAAAAACCCTAGTCAAGTTATTGGTGAGAGTGCTTCTAAGGGACTGCCAGATGGTGATAAGACTGTAGAGCCTGTGCTTGCTGCTTCCTCTGTTTGCTCTGGAAATAGTGTAGAGAGAGCTTCTGATGATCCAGTATATAATTTGAAGAGAAAAAACCGTGATAATGACGAGTCAGAATGTCCTAGTGAAGTAAGCTCTATATCAATTTTTTTTTGTTTTGTGTTTTGTCCTGCTTTGCTTTTAATTTATCTTTCCTTTAACCAATAAGCTAAGTAACCAACTTATGTGCAGGATGCTGAGGAAGAATCTGTAGGTGTGAAAAAAGCAGTTCCTGCTCGAGGAGGTTCGGGGTCTAAGAGAAGCAGAGCAGCAGAAGTGCATAATTTATCTGAAAGGGTGAGTAAGCACATTTGATAAATTTGTTAATTTGTAATTTGTCTTCCATATGGCTGTTTCTGAATTATAAGATCTGGACTGATACTCAACTGGACTTTCACAAACAGAGGCGAAGGGATAGGATAAATGAGAAGATGCGTGCTTTACAGGAGCTCATACCAAACTGCAATAAGGTTGGCAACTCATTAGATCCTTGGTTGCTATGTTTTGTTATCTTTTTAACCAAATTAAGGAATTTTGTTTAGACACAAATTGCTTAGGGAAATAGAATGAGCTCAGGCATATCATTGTGTATTTTTTTTTTAGTTCAAAAACAGAAAGCTTATTCGTGCTTCTTATCTTTGATGTTTACTGCAGCTTTTGTTAATTTCATCAGACATTGGTTAAATGGATTTGTGATTGAAACCAAAAACAGACCAACAAAGACCTGATAGCTTTTGTATTTTAAATACTGTTGACTTTTACATTTTGACATTACAAGGTGGACAAAGCTTCGATGCTTGATGAGGCAATTGAATATCTTAAGACACTTCAACTACAGGTGCAGGTAAGATCTCTCTTATTTCTCCCAAATCAACTCTTCTGTTTGCTGTATATTGGGTTTTTGATTTTTGAGAGGTAACTGAATAAGTTCAATTTGTCAACTACCAACCTTATGCAGATTATGTCCATGGGAGCTGGCTTGTATATGCCACCAATGATGTTACCAACTGGAATGCAACACATGCATGCAGCTCATATGGCCCATTTTTCACCCATGGGTGTTGGACTGGGAATGGGTATGGGTTTTGGGATGCCATTGCCTGACATGAATGCTGGATCTTCTGCTCGTCCTATGGTTCAGGTGCCTCCAATCCATGGAGCACCTTTTTCAGGCCCTGGCCCCACTACTCTCCAAGGGATGGCAGGATCTAACCTCCAGCTATTCGGGCTTCCAGGTCAAGGACTTCCCATGTCAATGCCGCATACACCCTTGATTCCTATTTCTAGTGGGCATCTTATGAAATCGGCCATCGGATTGAGTGCCTGTGGACTGGTAGGCCCTATGGATAATATGGGTTCAGCTACAGCTTCTATTTCAAAGGATCCGGTGCAGAATATCAATTCACAAGTGGCACAGAATGCTAATGTCAATAGTTCAATGAATCAGACACCTAGTCAGGTAAGGGGATTTTTTTCCCTGTAAGTAACATTTTGAAAAAAGAAAGAAAATTTTTAGTATCTTCTGAAGTGGGACTTAATTGCTACTTTGAGAAGGTTGCCTTGAGGCTGTATTTCTCCCAGAGGCAAATGACAAATTAGCTATATCACATGGTATAGAAGCATACCCTTGATGACTATTTATTTTGATGCTGAATTATTGCCAATTCAAGTAGACAAGTTCATGATAAAGCTGAGGACTGTTTCTTGTTGGGGTTAGATTAGAGAAATCCTTTTTCTTTTCATCAATGAAGAAGTTTTTCGCTTCTAATATAGCAGAATAAGTTGTAATATACACATAAAAACACACAGACACTTATATGTATTGTACATTTTGCTTTATTCTACATACGCAGACAAGGCTGACAGAAAAAGGGTGTTAGATTCTATTAACTTCCTGTAAATTAACTAGTCAACCATGTGAATATTTTGCTGTATGTTTTGATGGATTTGCCTCCTGCCATTAGTCTGGCTCAATCTAATCAAATCTGATATTGTTTGTGATGCCAGTGTCCAACAACAAATCAAAGTTTTGAACAGCCAGCTGCAGTGCAAGAGAATGGTCAAGCATCAGAAATTACTGGTAGCGTACCTTTTAGATCAGCCAGTGGAAATGAAAAAGTACCTGATAGGTCAGATTACTTTTAACTTTGTATCGAGATCTGCATCATTAAATTTTGGTTCGAAGAAGTGTGAACTTAATATTTTCTTTTAAGTGCAGGTCATAACTGGTAGCTGTTATGGTCTTTTTGATTGGAGGAGAGGAATCCATTTTGCTTGCTATGGATACTGAAGCTTTTTCTCCCTGATGAGATTGAACCTCAATGACGGTCAGCTGAATATAATTTCAGGATAATACAGTCCCAATTTGCACAGATTTTGGTATGTTGAGGAGACTTGAAATCTTTTCTTGCATATGTACATTCATTTATATGATCCATGCAAATAATGCAATGTTAACTAAGAGATAAATACCTAATAGTATGTATTCAAATCGTTGTACACCTCTGGGTAACTAATTCTTTGAATTGATGAAATGATAATTATCTTCTGTTACATCTATGGTAGTCTCTCTCTCTCTCTCTCTCTCTACATATTTAGTCGAGTTAAAGTGTGGTGTAATCAGCTAGTATCATTTTTGTCAGCTTAAAGTCATAAACCGTATATTGTTTTGTTCTTGATTGGCTTAAAACCATAAACTTGATAGTCTTCTTTACTTTTAATTTTGTTTGGCAACTGCCTTACATCATCTCATGTAAAGTAGACAATTATGTCAGGAATATATTCATTTTCATCTAGTTCTCTGGACCAATAATGCTAATGAAACTTTACATGCTAGTGTGAACACAGTGGACAGATTAATGGATCCATCTTCACGGATGTGGCCGTAAGGCTGAGAAGGGTTATGTTACAACGCAACCTATCTTTAAATAGCGTCATGCAGGGCATTTTCAACTGTCTCTAAATAATTACGGATGATATGAATGCATTCCATTGCTGAAAAGCTCATAATTGGAGTATGCACGATCATCATTTATGGACAAAGTTTTATCTCCAAGCATTATAATTACCTTTGCAATCTGTCATGGAATTCCCCTGCCTGTTTCCATCAGCATGACCCCAATATCCTTGCTGTCATAAAAATTTCTTTATCATAATAATCATTGTTCTATTATGCTGACAGAATGCAGGTACTTCCTCCTTGTGTTGATACATAGCCCGTGGGTGCAACTTGCTTTTTGGAAGTGATTTTCCAGCAGTAATTAGCTTTTAGGATTCGTCATAGTGCTGCTGTAAGCATGGATATCCTTGACTTGATAAAAACAAAGATGATGATACTCATAATGATTGCTAGGAAATTTCCATTTTATGGACAAAAGGATACTCAATTTGATAGTCCGCTTGGAAAATTCAACCATCACATATAAAGAATGCCACGCTTTCAGATAGGTTTCCCTTCGTAGGCTTTGGACCCCTCTGTTGTGTTGGCTCGTTAGTTGTCTATTTGATCTCTTGCGCATTCAGTGCTGCACTTGACCAATATTTATCATCTTTTACTCCAATCTTTTGTTTGATCAGTTATCTTTTTCTAACTGGATTATTTGTGTGGTTTATTAATCCAACACATAATAAATGGCAGAAAGGAAGGAACCTTTTCGCAACTTAAAATGTTTCTTCTTCTTATTAGCATGAAGCATGAGGAATGAAGAAATAGTAATGCAATACATACAGCTAAATGGAGTTATACAAAACATGGAAGAAAAGCTTTTCCTCAGGTTTCACAACTTGGAGCGCAGCATGTATGCGCTGTGGTATCATGAGGCTAGTAAACTTTCCTAGACTGGTAAATCACAAAAGCAGCGGAAGACACAGCATCGGTCTACACCCCCTTATTTGGCTTTAAATGCAGCACTGACTAATTGGTTTTATGCGTTTGAATGCTTTTGCGCGAGCTTTGTTGACCCAATGATTGCTAAGACTACGCTCAGTCACGAGACATGATCTGCTTTGGTCACCATTGTCAAGGGAAGGCATGGCTTTATTTTCAAGTCACTGTCCAATCCTTGAAGAGGCTCGTCCTCATTCTTCGATCGGTTAATTTAACTACTTGTACACCTTCGCATCTTCGTTGGTTTTAACAGCAGCTTGCAGTGACGTTGCCCCTCAGCTTCACTTCCCACTCATTCAGGCTCTATTAGTATCATTTGACCTCTACTTCATCAACTGTGTTTGTGGATGCCACTTCTTAATCCACATATTGATTCCTAACTTGTTATGAATTCGTTGCAGGAAGAAATTACAATTGCTTACCGATGATTCAATCAGAAAACACCGACTTTCCTTTAAAGGTATAAGTTGGTGGTTCTTCTGTTACCTTCCTAGCTAATAACGCCATTACTTGCGAACCTCAATGATAGAACACTAATCTGCCTTGATTTGGAGTGTTTTCTTCTGGACTTTGGTGGGAGATGCTGTATCTTGTTGGATAGTTTTAATTGCTTCAACTGCAAGTAGAGTCATCAACAACTAATCCAAGGGAAAGAGTAGCAACTTGCGATAAATTATACCCCATTATATTGTAGCTATTTGGCATCTAATTAACAACGACTGAAGAAAGATTTGCTCTGAAGTCTCGATAGAGAAGATTCCAGCAAGGCATTGATAATGGTTGAGAATGCAAAATTAAAAGAGAAGAGGCAATATCCATTCATATATACAAGCAAACTAATTAAATCAAGACCTTATTTTTCATCTCCAGTATGATTTATCGTAATCGACATTCATTAAACAACGAGTAATGAGTTTGATTTAAGAAATATATATGAAATTGAGAAATTCAAGTTTCGTAGAGAAATTTTCATGTCCCTAAATACTCTGCTTTGTTAATCCATGAATTAAAAGTGACAAGATGAAGAAAAGAGAATAAAACTAGGAAGCTTAATCATACCTTAATATCAGCTATACAACTGTGACTGTGCAAATGCTTTATATGAAGATTCATGAGCAGACAGATTTTTCCAAAGTGAAAAATGAAAAGTTGAAGGAGTGGTAAAGTATTTCACCATATTGTATCTAGTCATTTGATTCAATAGTAGATGCATGAATGTTATATTCAACGAAAAAGAGGGGGAAGAGTTGAATCTGTTATATATGATCTCCATAGTTATGGCCAAGGAACAAAGCTGACGGAATCCAACTATTGCTTAGTTATTGAATGTTCTGTTTTTGGCCACCTACGTTACAAAAGGAAAAGAAACAAAGCTTATGGGGACCATGCAAAACTAAACGATGTATTGTATTGTATGGTTTATTCGGAATCTAAAAGGCAGGGACAAAACGCCCGCTGTTTGCTGCCTATGTTTTTTGATGGTAAAGAGGAGGAGGTGCAGGTGTCACTCGTCAATGGAATTCCCCCTTCAACCCTTGAAATGTCAGGCCCACTACCTTCGCTCCAGGCTTCTCACAAAAACACTATTCTGCTTACAGGACCATCTCTGTCCTAAATTTTGTTCTGTTATCACAGTCCATAAACAAACACAATGTGAGTGCTTACCGCTCACTTGTTATATATGGGTGAAAAATGAAAATTTCCTTCTTGGTTCTCTCTTCCCTAACCTATAAAATAATCAAGGTATGATGGTTTGCAGAAGTTTCCATAGGCAATCAGAGTGCAAAAAACCAGCAGGCGATCATATAGGTGAAGAAAATGTGAAAAAGTGCCTATCAAATCGGCCCAAAGAGAATAATTCATGTTCGTCTGCTGGTTTTCCTGAGGATTCTACTTTTTGGGAATATTGAGCAGGCACCTTTAATCAAACTGGGTTAAGCATGCTCCAATCCAATTAATGCTTCATACCAAGCTCTGCTCATGTTGATTGAGAAGACTCAACTCATGAGAGTCCTCCAATCAGAGTATTTTGACTGTTCACTTAGGGGCATGAAAAGCAATGATTTTAATGCGGGAAGAAAGTTGACTATCATTTCCACTACAAAGCAAAAAGCAAACATGTAATTATTCAAAGATGGGGCACATACGGAACATTTCAACCAGACAAAGCATTTGATAATTGATGGGGTTAAAGGCCTTAAGGCTTTCGATAATTGATGGAGTTAAAGAGCTTTTAGTCTTCTCATAATTTTGCCTTCTAATTAAAGTCAATCACCCTCCACCTTTACAAAAATCAAACGCCACAACTCTCCCCTTTACACATGTTGCTAACAGCGTTTAGATAATTCTTCCAGGACATCCTTCAAAGTGGAAGCAACTGTAGTGTTTAACTGACGATTAATGATTGTTATTAAGATCTTAAGCTCCATGTATGGCGAGCAATGCTGTGACGTGGACATTAATTTGTCAGTCATCATCACTCATTGCACTGACAAGACAAAAGACAAGCAAGTTTAGTTGTGATTTAACTAAAACTTATGAGATATCCATGTGCTTATGTTTCCGGCAAATGTTAATGGGCCAATTAAAGCGTATGCATTAAGGTCAGCTTGAATGGATCGACCTTTTATCACTCAGCTGTCTGGGGAAAAAAATGTGGGATGTTTCCAACAACTTTATCTGATCATGGTTCTAATGGCACTGTCATGTAAATTATGAAGTTGCTGAAGGACAGCATTGTCTCTGAAAAAGTTGGGTTCTGCCCCATGGAAAGGCTGAGGTTGGAATCCAAAATGACTACATGAGAAATCTCTACCTTGTTGTAAGGATTGGAAAAGCTGGACTATGCTTTCGTAAGGTACCGAGTCAGATTGTAATTACAAGCAAAATGAAAGGGATACTTTAAATAGAAAATGGAAACCTGCAATCCAACAATATTGACAGTTGAATTGCAATTGTCAGTGATCCATTTCTGACATCTTATGGAAGTTAAAGTGAGCTTCGGATACAAGGCCTTCAGGTTATAGTGTAGACTAGATCAGTTCTTCCTGAGTTACCTTGATGGACTTGACTATTGCTCCAAGAGTTACTTTGTACTTTTTCCTCTATTTTTCTTCCTGAAACAATAGTAGTTGGTAATTATACAAATATGGACTGAGCAATGAGGACGATTCCATTATTTAGCATAAACAGTTTCTCTTTCTTGTCAACTAGTTGTCTGTCCCTCGGTTAGTTTAGCAGGAGGATAACTTTAGAGATAATGAAAAGAGGCATCTCTATTTTCAAGAGCATTTGAAATGTGTCCCCTCATTTTTCAAATGACATTTGATTATCATCCTGCGAATCTTCCTCTTCATCAATTTAATCATGTCATAGATTTCCCATCAACTCCACACTTTACAGACGATTAGGCTTGTTCAGTATAGTTTGTCCTACCCAAGTGTGTTCATGTGTTATCATTTGACAAATGTCTGACTTAACAATAATTGGTAAGGTGATGCGAGCTGTCAAAACCTGCCGCCGAATGATTTTCTGAGGTGAGGGCAAGGAAGTTTTCCTTCTGTAATTCTTTTCCACTCAAGCAAGCCGGAACTATAGTTCAAGAGAATTCGGATCATTTTGTTTTCTTAATTTTTATCTCGTTTGATTTATTACAAAGCTTTTACAGAAACAAATACTGCATGTGTGATGAGTGTACGTTCCAATTACAAAAGAAATCTGCTTCAAAGCCTAATTCATAAACCTCTGCAGGCCGGCATGAACTTCTATTGCCTATGTGCTTTCTGTCAAACTATGCAGTTTAAATGCAAGTCCCATCTAATTTAGCCTTTCTGTAAAAAAAAAAAAAACTCGTGGGGAAAGGGGCTCCATCCTCCATGTAATAGCTTTTCTAGTAATATTCAGCCAACAGCAAAGGAATCCCAGATCAGCAGGTTGGGAAAAAGATCCAAAAACGGTGCTTAAAACCTGACTTGGGAATATACGTTCCCCAAGCAAAAGAAAAAAGATGTAGCATATCGATATGTGGACGTGTTTCCGGAAGCTTTAAATCAAGGCAACAGAGGATCCTGTCCCCAGAGGAGAGCTCTCTGCGTAGACAAGGGCAACGAGGTACGCAGCATATGCGATTACACTCCCTTCCGGCAATTAGTGAATTTTAACGGAACCTTCTAATCATTAAATTACAAGACAGAGATTCATTCCCCCGAACGGCGCTCCCTAAGTTGATTAAAGTAAAAGAAACGATCATCAAAAGCAAGAGATGTTAACACATAAGCCTGAGTCGGCTGACTAAACAAAGGGAGAAACAGAAATGACAGCAAAGTTGTCCCATCATTTATTAAGATATCTATGTTGGAGAACAGAAGAAGAAAGGCAAAAAACAAGTTATACAGTGGTTGACTTCCCATGGAACAGCTCATAAATAAATAAATAAATATATATATATATATATATATATTCTGCTATGATGATAAGATAAGTTTCAGAGGGCATGATGAGGTATGGAGATCACAAGCATCTTTCTGTGACTTGTGTTTTTTAATATCAAATTGGGATGCCTGAATCAGGACATTGCTAAAGGTCAAGGAAACTTCATAATGTTAGAACACGGAGACAGGCCATCGCAGAAGGTTAAAATGATTGTCATTATTCCAATTATTCTTATATGTATAAATTTTTTCTTCTGGTACCTGTTTCTAAACTCTGGAACGTGCTTAAGGAGACCAATTAAATATCAAGGGAAGGGGAGCTCTTCACAAGTTTGGATGTTTGTAAACCATGCAAACCTTGCGTAGCAATATTAAAACTTTACGGAAAATCAACTAGCTCTGTCATTTCTATAAAGTGTGTCAACATTTCTTTTGTCACTTATCCCTTGGCCAATTATTGTATTCTGCGTTCTTTATTAATTCAGTATTGAATAATGATATGGATCCATTTCTTTTTAGATTATGATACAACATACATATAAATTAATTAAGATTGGTGTAGAGAGAATCATGTTCCATTGATTCATATTCTCGAGAGAGAGCTGACATTGAATAGTGCAATCAACATTGTCAAATTGAGTATATCTGTAATTTGTCCCTGTCCTGAGCTCTTCCGGAATACATGCTCACTCAGTCCAACAGAGGACAACTGCATTATTGTGATTCGTGTATTTATATTACAGAGATACACCAGTTTACTTCCTTTTATCATTTATTTGGCTATTGCCCTGCATGGAGATGGAATCAGCATACCAAAGTATAGAAAACAGGAGATGGACATTTCAGATTAATCATTTGGGGGTTGGTAGAATTTGAATGCTTTTTCAAGGGAGAAGGAATATGCCCCCTGATTTTCAAAGTTGTTGAAAATACTTTTGTTTTAAATTTGTGAAACTTTCCAAACTCATCTTTGGTTTCGGAAATTACCCAAAAAGCCTAAAAGAAGAGAGGTTGACGTCATCTGAAAAGTACCTGTCGCAGCAGCTAGTTAAGAAAAAGAAACAAGTAATGGAGAATAACAATATAAATCATATATTTATGCTTCATTAAAAAACAAGACTATAAAGGAATGTGTACAGCGTATGTTATCTCCAAATTGATTGCAATTTACCATATCAGCAAATGTTAACTAATCATGGGTATTTCTTGTCTGCAAGAAATTTTCCCTTTCCTGATTCTTGTGGCTGATTTTGTATTGGGAATCTAGAGGTAAATTTAGTTGAAATAGGTATCGCTTAAATGTCAATACAAACCACCACAGCTCTTATACTCGTTGCTAAGCAGCACTGTAATTCCATTTGTTCTCTCCATCACCCTGTCACTTTTTTCTACCGGGGCTGGTGAGCACAGTATTGTTGTATGCAAGCATGGTTTTGCCATCAAGTAAAACATCTGTCAAAAGCCCCACCATTTGCTGCCAAAAGTCTTTTAATTCCCAAACTCTGATGAGACATATGCAAGTCAAATTATTGAAGCCCCCACCCGATGCTCCTCTCCATCAGTTGTACACGCGCAGTTGCATCTGGACCGTCCATATGTAGAGGAGCCCGGCTTATATCTAGTCCCAGAACCTGACATGGACCAACCAGTGCATGAGACGTAGTTACAACTGGGCAAAATCAAATATAAATTCAAAACCATAATCTCCAATCACCTTCTTGAAGGTGACTTTTCTCTTGAGGGATCTCCTCCTACTAATTTGATTCCCTAGCTACCAGGCTGCCATTTTTTTTTCCTAACTTCCTTATCGCCTCTCCATCTCTCTCTCCACATATAACACCTCCCTCTTACCAAGGATCCATTCTAAAACCTGCTCTCTTCTTGCTGACAGTTTTTCAAAGGTCGCTCTAAGAAAACTAGATAAGTTTCCCCAGCATTGCAGGTGAGTTGCACTCCACATGGGGAGACACTCTTGCTGTTATAAGCAGAAGCTACGGAAAGGCCTGTGGTCTCCTGAGGAAGATGAGAAACTTCTGAATTATATTACTAAGCATGGGCATGGCTGCTGGAGTTCTGTCCCTAAACTGGCAGGTTTAGTATCCTTTTTCCAATATTAGTCCCTGTATTTAACTTTAAGCAGATTGCAAAACATAGCGAGTGAAGAATATTAAACCCTCCTGTGTATCCTTCATGGATGTTTGCAGGCTTGCAAAGATGTGGCAAAAGCTGCAGGCTGAGATGGATTAACTACTTGAGGCCTGATTTGAAAAGAGGAGCTTTCTCGCAGCAGGAAGAGAATTTGATAATTGAACTCCATGCAGTCCTTGGCAATAGGTATTGGTTATTTTCGTTATAGAACTCTCAGCAAAGCTTTTTTTTTTTATTTCCTGTTCTTGTTTTGTGCCTTGTGCTTACTAGATAATCGGTCTATTCTTTGATACTGTATATTTGTTCATCAGATGGTCTCAGATTGCAGCTCAGCTACCGGGGAGAACCGACAATGAGATAAAAAATTTATGGAATTCCTGCATTAAAAAGAAACTTAGGCAAAGAGGCATTGACCCTAACACGCACAAACCACTCTCTGAGGTTGAGAATGATAACAAGGAGAAGCTCCCGACGAGCAACAAAGCCTCTGCGGGATCCAATGAACTGAACCTCGGTGAGGTGATGGATTCAAAATCACCTTCTATAGTCATGGAGAAATACCCCCTTGAGGTTTCCTCCGATTCCAAGATGAATAACAGTGGTAACTGCAGAAACAATAATGTTAATGTTACAAGTACTCCTCACACTCAGGAATTCTTACTGGATAGGTTTGCAACCACCCACGAGAGCAACACCACCACAAGTTGCAGGCCATCTGATTTGGTGGGCTATTTCCCTTTCCAGAAATTGGATTATGCCCCCAATATTGGGCTGTCGGTGAGTCAAAGTACTTCACTCTGCTTCAATTCAAGTTCCAGTTCCTCTGAAATGATTTCAGAGTTCAACTCCAGTTTGAGACAAATTGTTCTGCCAACCATGTCAAGCTCAATTTTCCAAACGCCAATACGTGTAAAGTCTTCTGTTAGTCTTCCTTGCGACAATCCTTCTTGCGATGTCAATGGGGTCCAGAATTGGGAAGGCAGCAGCTACAGTAACAATGCGAGTAACAGCAATGGAAGCAGTGGCAGTGTAGAATTGCAAAGCAACACTATCTTGTTTGAGAGCAACCTCTTCTCATGGGGACTGGCGGACTGTGGAAAATCTGGTGAAGGTGTCCCAATACGCTCAATAGAAGGTGATCCAGATGACATCAAATGGTCCGAATATCTGAATAGCCCATTTCTCCTAGGAACTCCAATGCAGAACCCATCCTCTCAAGCCATGTCCAATGAGGTGAAACCACAAGCACAACTCATAACGGACGGGTCAAGTAACACTTGGCCTCAGAATCAGCACCAACAAGCTTCACGGGTTTCAGATATGTATGCTAAGGATTTCCAGAGACTAGCTGTGGCCTTTGGACAAACCCTTTAGCTGCTTTAATTTATAGCATGTGCAGTCTAATTCAAGCAAAGAGAGAAATATGTCAAGTTTTTCAGTTGGCAATGGCTTGGGATGAAGAACCTTCTGGTTATACGTGTGTGCTATAGAATTGTCTTCTTGTTTTGTAAATGTGCCTGATACAAGATTTCTTCTCCTAATGTTACAGAATACTGTCATCCTTGTCCAGGAAACACGTTAGAATTTCAGAATAAGGCCTGCTCCAACAGATTAATTTTGTTTTACTAGTATTATTTCTTAAACTTCTTTGTCCCTCAGAGTGCAATTTATCTGTAAACAATCCAAGGATATAGATTTTTGGTTGAACCAACGTTGTCGCCTTTTTCTGTGTAGAAAGCGAAGTACAGAGAGATTGTGACTGTAGCCCTTGGATATCCATGTAAATCTTTCACTTTCCCAGGATCAATATTTACCATACTTTTTCATTTTTATAGTATACATCTCTAACCATATTGATTCTCTTTGCAGCACGAAATAAGTTGAAATTCCATTTCTGTGCTTTTCTGAGGCAAAATTTAGGGGACCATTTTTCTTGAATGGATGTCCATCACTGTCTCCTATAGATGGAGATAGTTTTTACCTTTTTGACAGTCTTTTAAGGCAAGAAATTATACCTGGCTTCACCTCGTAAAAAAGCCAGTCAGTAACGCAGTATGGCCGATGGATCCATCTAAGATGGCCGGGAAAAGCCCCACAGCTAGCTATAACAAGTAGCTATCCCCAACTAGTCAACAAGAAAGAAACTTATTAACAAGGCCTTGGAATCTGAGGAAGGCTATATGTACATTCTCTGCTTCTCGAACTTTATCTCAAGGGCACGGTGAAGCTAGAAACTTCCAATTCCATCTGCTGAAGCAAATGAGGATGTTTCTGAGCAGAGTGAATTGCGAGGCGACAAAATCCATACGCTAATCACATGAGGGACACCGTGTTTGGTGTCCCTAGGCTTGGGGTGGGCCTAAACTCTTACTGCATCCGGGTGGAAGAGAAATATAAGATAGGGGTCCCTCCAGTCGGCATCTAGGGACGTTTTATACTTACAGAGACAAAGATCAAGCTGAATCTTTAACTAGTCTTATATTTCTTTGAATTAATTGGAACTGGAGGGTTGCGTTAAAAGGCGACTTGGGGAGTAGGGAGTACCATTTGGGAAGAAATATGGTCCAGGATTTGATAACTTGAATATACAGCATAATCCAAAAGCCATAAATTTACATCAGGGCACAGAAGTCTGCTCCATAAATGGTGATGTTTATGAGCCTCAGCCACAGAATATAAAAAGGTACAGTCGCTTTCTGTGAAGAATATTTCCATTCATTCATGGCAGGCAGCATATATATATATATGTGCGTGTGTGTGCGTGTACAATACATGCATTATAATTTAGAGAAACAAAAAATTTATTTGTTAATATATAGATGCATGCCTCAAATACATGTGATCTGGATTTTTGGCCTTTGGTTGGGGCCCTACAATCATAAGTGCAGGAAGAACACAAAAAAGTAATGCATTTCAAACGCATGAAGACACCGAGATGGTGAGGAGACGACGCTTTTGCAAATTCCTATCCCAATCAGGCTCCTGAAACTCTGTTGTTCTAACAAATTCAATAATTTCCGAATCTTTGCTTTGGGTTTCTTTTTAAGATGGAAAAGGTTAACCTGCATTTCAATCAGAAGACGGACGGTAGAGCTTGATTTTCTTTCAAGATAATTACAATCGACAACTATTCCTATCCCTATCCCTTCGGATGAGGTTTCATGAATACAATTAAGTTCTGGGATTAATGCATAGAAGGACTAGCCAGATGGCATAACATTCATTCATTTGTAGCTTTTGTGCATCCAGCAGACGAGGAATCTTCTTCCATCCTATTTGAAGGAAATTTGGAAATCTTGTCCCGGTCAACAAATATGTGAACAGCGACCAGTTGTTTCTAAATGCATAGAGCTATTGGCCTACTAGTATAATGATTTCACACATCACAATATTATTTTATGGAAAGAACATGACATTACATGATTAATGCAACTCTCTGTCTACTTGCAATGAGATTTTCTGAAATTAAAAATGGCACAACAACTGGATTTCTTACTGCAACCTCATTTTTAAATCCAAAATTTTGTAAACCAAATTCATCGAGCTAAAAATGACTCAAACCGAACCCTTTTCTACACGTTTTTGCATTGATAATAGAAAAGAAGCTCATTAGAAAAACCTTCTCTTGCTCAAAAATATGTCCGCTTGGAAAGTTACAGTTTGCAAAGTTAAAACAATTATTAGCACATACATGCATCAAGCTTTACCTTGGGCGGAGGGGTGAAAAAATTTGAGCAATGCAATTTTGCTTAGAAAACATCGCAGAAGATTTGCTGATTGCATTGCATTTCTCAGCAACCTTCCTCTTTATTGTCTTCTATCCAATTTCCATTGAATTGCTGATAGGAAGATACCTGCTACGTCTAACCTCACCATGTATATGAGCCAACTAATATTTATCATTGGCTCATCTAAAAACCAGATTGTGGCAAGTCTTGTCACAAGGGTACGGACAATCAATGGACCTCACGGCTGCTCTGTCAAAATACCAATCTCCAACAGCTATCGCAATTGGCTGGCACAATATCACTTACAAAGTCATTATATATCTAACTAAAGAACAATAAAAAAAGTTGCCAAAATTAAGAAAACGCAAGACAATATCTAATAAAACTGGACCAAACTAATAAATTTTAGTAATAAACTACTATTAAAACGGCTATTATCTCTAGTAGTAGAAGGAAGTTTAGGCTACAATTGGGTAAGGGAAGGACATTGAGAACTCCATGTATAGAATTGCAAAGAATGATATAGGCTTTTCTATGTATACTTTGATGACCCCCCTTTTAATATGATAACAGAATGAAATCTAATATAGGAATTCGTATGACATAAGCTTCACAAAATCTTATATGAATTATTTATTAGACATACCTTGTTTCTAATTTCAGGAGAATCATCAGCAAACCATGTGTCTTGCCTCTCTGTTTGGCAGTGAGCAAAACATGAATTTATAAATAATCCATTCTGTCTAGACATTGAGAACCCTTTTATAGCATTAAGCATCTGTGTTCGGAAGCCTGGTTCAGAAAAAGGGAGATTCCATTAAGGTGACTAAATATGGTCTATCATGTGTTGAATTGCATGTAAAATTGAAAGCTTAATCAATTTCACATATATAAAATCACCTTGTAAAAACCTGATTTGAGATGCAGAACATTTTGCATGGTTCAGTCTGCAATCATGCCAATAACCATGCGGATCTGCCGATGGTGGAGCTATACTGGATTGTATCTGATTTCAAGAAAGGAAAACCAATTTATTCATCTAGTTTATTAATCAACTTCGTAGAGTTCTCTAATATAGCACAGCAGTATGTATTATCACGTGCTACTTTATAAATTGATAATGCTATTCTCGAGACAAAGATTATTACCTGCCATGAATCATAAGCTGCATTAAGAATAAACATTGGAGTTTGGATGTGGCTGATTAGATTTTGAGGAAAGAAACACTGTAAAGAAGGGAGTTTCAGGCAAGTGAGTACTGAGTAGAGCAAGAAAATATGTGTCGATATCACGTGATGTTTCTTCTTAATCACTCAAATTAGATATGGGTCAAAAAGAAATAACAAAGGAGATATACCGAAGTGGGATCGAGGTGGTTGGTGCATATACGAGGAAGGTTATGTTGCACACCCTGTGATATCAACAAGAAACTTGCACAATAAATAATCAAGTTTAATGAAGCCATAAAAATTTTAAGGTTTTCCTTCCTTTGTTTAATTATTTATATTTTGTTTTGCATCTGTCTGCATGTGCTCTTCATCATATCTGCTTAAGATCTTTTGTGAATCCAAATCCTCTGGCATCAATAGAAAGAAGATAGAAAAAGGCATATATAAATAAACCCACATATATGTAAATACAAATATCAATAAAGAACCTGTAAGCCGACCACGCCACTGTATAAACTTCTAAGCGTGTGACTACCAGACACATCAATCCTACAGACCAGAGATGATATAAAGAAAATATATTAAGAAATAAGGAACAATCTATGTCTTACTGGTACTTAAAACCAGACCCATGAAGGATATTGATACTTACGCATCAAGGAATAGACCAGCATCACTAAGGCACTTAACTTTAGTAGTTCTTGGAAACAAGTTCCTGAACTCGTCACAGTGTAAAATTGCTGCCAAACCCCCAGCAGAACAGCCAGAAAGAAGAGCCTGAAATGTAATAGTTTTTTGTTACAAAAAATAAATATGAAGGGGTGGCAAGGCATAGCCTAATAGTGGCCATACTTTACCTCGGAATTGGAGATCCCAAGTTCAAATCCCCCTTTCTTCCAACTATAAAATATATAAATAAACACGCAGAGGGGAACTTCTTTTTATTGAAAAAAAAGTCATAATCAAGATAAATATGAACCTGCTTTGCATAGCGCATTCCTTTTGACATTAAATCTTCCATTGCAGCTAACCATATACGTTGTCCTCTAAATTGCAGCTGTGCAGCCTAAACACAGAATAGCCTAATTTTTAACATATGCTCCGCATAAAGAAGAATAACTTTGGAGATAACCTCTCAAAACTAGATGCTTGTTTAAACATATACGATAAATAAAGAGCCAATTATTTCAATCACTTGGAAACAATGGCTTAATCCAAAGCTGAAGCAATTCATATTCTTCCATGAGTTACTACTTTTTTTCCTATAAAAATCTTGTAGTATTTGTTTCTACAACCAGCTCTCTGTTGTAAACGTGCATACGGAAAGTTAAAAAATGGATGGAAACAGCTTCTTGTGAGTAATGTAAAATGGCTTTCCAAGGTCATGATTTGGTGGTCAATGGTGACTTAAGGTCCCAGTTTTCGTTTGTACTGCTTCATCTCATTAAAAACCAAAAAGAAATAAAAAATGACATTCTATGGGTGAAAGCAAATGCAAGAAATTGGTTTCTACCTTATTTTCGCTGTCCCCGGTAAAAGAGGCACCATCACAATAACGAAGCTTTACTCTGTTCCAATTGAAAAAGTCTGCAATTTAATATGAAATAAAATAAGACGATAAAAATGGTAGCTTTTATAAAGTCTGCTTAGTATGGAATATTTATTTAAAATAAAGCTTAAGAGGAAACCAGGATTTTCTTCAGCTTTTTCACTCAATATTCCAGTGAATGGTATCTGCTTTTCCATGTATGTGGATGATCCACGTCGGGTTTTTTTGCGGTAGACACAAGTTCTAATGTTATTGCACCATCCTCCTCCCTGCCACAAGATAAATGTCTAAGTTACCCATCCATCGAAACTTTTATCTAAAAGGGTCAATTGGACTTACATAGTCAGCTTACTAACCTGGACGCAACAGAAAAAAAAGCAAAAATAATAATGCAAAAGAGGAACATTTTAGAGAAACATACAACTTTTACAGAATTCATCGGTCAATTATAGCTTAAAGACCTTGGACTTAGTATAACATCCTAGAATATATCAGTTGGACAATGCGAACAAGTAATAACTACAATGCTACAATCATTTCTATACTTAATTTCAAGCTAAATCATTTCTATAGTCTCTCACAAACCTCCAACTGAATGAGCCAGCTATTTGCTCCTGATCCATATCCACGATGCCAATGATAACCTGGCAAGGTTCCATCCAGGCAGACTGAACGATTGACAGACAGAAGCAGGTAAATTAGGACAAAATGCCAAGACAAATTTCAGCAGGATGAATTTCACTGATTCTCGGTAAAAGATGTATAAAGTAAATTTGAAACAAAGAGCATGTCAGGCTGAAGAAGATGAGGGCAGCAGATGAAATCATCAAGCAAGAAAGACCACAACAAAAGATAATGGGAAAACGTAGAATGACAAAAGATAATTTAATCATAGCTATCATTAGAATCAACCTTGTTAAGTGCATTTTGCGGCCAATAAAACATAAAGTTGGCAAGAAATTGAAAAAAATATATATATTATCTCACTCGGACCGCTGAAATTATTGCGCAAAAGGAGGACTGGAGGGAAGGTAGTCAAACGGAAAATAATAATCAATCCTTTCTTATTATTAATAACTCCATTACTATTCCTTTTTTTCTAAGACTATTATTTTACATTTTGGTAAAGTACAATAGAAGTTACAACAAATAAACCGGCAAAAATAATCTGATGAAGGGAACGAGGCAGAAGCAAACTTCAATTAAAAGACTGACTGAAGAGAAGCAATTTCAAAGCTGATACAATAACGGCATGAAAATACTTATTAGTGACATTCCCATAAAACCCAGTTTTTTTAAAAACAAAATATTTAAATCCAGAAATCTGAAGAAATATATAAAGAAATAAGAAAGAAATCATGAGCAGAAACAACTGCAGAAAGCAATGGGAAAAATAGAAATGTACCAGCTCCTTTAGCGCCCGCACTTGGAATAAGAGTGAGTCCAACCATGAGAGGATTGTAATTGAGTTTGGAGACTCCATATTCGTAAGCCTCAATAAAAGACAGCTCTGTTTCATTAAAATCTAAGAACCCAGTAACCACTTTGCAAAAAACAAATGCCGTAAAAACCCCAACACAAAAAAGCTTCATCTTTGCTTAACTCTGCTCCCCAAATCTTGAGAGAGAAAAAGCCAAAGCTTGAATCTTGCAGATGCGTTTGTAAATTGTAATGTAGCAGCAAGCGTAACCTAGTACATGATTAATAAAGACAGAGAAGGTTTAAAAGAAAATGGTCATTTATGACTAGTGCACAGTTGTGATTAGGAAATATTGCTCCTTTCGAGTCAAGGAGCTAAACACGGAAGAAGAAAAATGCAGCTCGTAAATCTGCAAATTCAAGGAGCTGTGTGTTGGGGGGTGATTGGAGAGAGGGAGATGCACATTGCAAAGCACAGTGCTTTTGCCGGGCTTTTTCGAGGTTATAATGCTGGGAGGAGCACGTATGGAATCTAAGAGAGAGGCTAAGTAGAGCAAGAGTTGGCAGGCATCGTAAGTAACAGGCAATTGGAGCACCGTGCGATTAGATTAGAAGAAAAACTAGATGAAGAAGGGGTTGCGGTCGGGGGAAATGTCTTGATATTGTACCGGAAGGAAGGAGATTATTTATGGGTGATTGGATTTGGATGAATTGCAGCGGTAGTGGTACACAGAAAATTCAGACTTCATACTAGTTATTTATTTAATTAAAAATTGTGGTCTGCCTTTTATGCTATGGACATCGGCGGTGCTTCGGCTCAGACTCACAGGATTCTGCTTTCCAGCTGTTTTTAGCCCAAAGGTGGTACTAGTTGTTTATCTCATGGTCATGGGTGCAAGTGAAGTGTAAACTTGTATGTTTGATTAAACAAGAAAGATTTACTACCAAGTATTGATGTTTGATGCTTTTCATCTGCTTATGTAACTTTTTCTCAATTATTTCAGACAATTTAAGCGTGGCAGGCAGAAGTGGGCAACAGTAACCTTGACCTTTGCATGCTCCATGAGTGTTTCTAGTTTGTGTCTTGATCAACCAAATTAAGATTGGATGTAGATTTTCGAATATGATTAGTAGATTAGTGTAAATAAATGGTAGGATACAAAATTTGGCATGCATGGTTATCAAGACTTAGAGGTTGTGATTTCACATCCCATTTAGTTATCATACCCATCAACTTTATTGTTAGTCTAAATTAATTTAATGATGAAGCCTGACCGGGCAACAGCCATCGCTAGGAAGGACCAATTATATCTATCTAAATCCCCATAACAGCCCAGCATCTCTTGGTCTCGGTGGAATATCATTCTACTTAACTTATTATCTCTATATTCACCATTTCTTTATATATGGTTGGGTAAGCTAGCTACTTTTGAGTTGGGCTGCCCTTTTCCTACAAAATTAGGTCCCAAACATGAGGAAGATTGGTCTTAATTAGTTAGCAGGAATATGATAATGATAGTTATATGCCTTCTCTTCTCTTACCAATTAAGACCACACAAAGGGGCTCCTTTCCTTTAATTTGCGTACACGCAACTTTTTGCTCGCTGCACGTAAACATAGATTCTGAGCTCCCATGTCAAACTCAATCTGTTAGCTAGGAAAAGATGTAAAACTACCACCTACATCTGTGCTGCCTGTAATATTGGAAAGAACTGAAGAATTGAGTGTGCGGATCACGTTGAAGAGACACAACATCATTTAATGGTGAACCTCCCAATTAACAGAAAGAGGAGCAGTGCATGTGAATGTGAGACAATTGGAGTTGGCCTCAGTCCAGTAATCACATGCAGCTTTTGAGGTCCGCCCAGCTCTGAGTAGGCGGAAAGAATCAGATGGATCATGGTCATACATAGATCTGGGTGTTTTTTCTTGCAAACCCTAAACCCCATACCATACCATACTAATCCCCACTTAGATTTCAGATTAAGTACCTCCATTTTCAACATTACCATTAATATTCTATTCTTGAAAAGCCACTGCCAGTAATACTTAATTACACTATTCAAGCCCAGCATCAACGTTTACCATGCACATAATCTAATACAGTATACAATTAGGATAATAAAATAATACATGTGGACCAATATTTGCTAATTTGTTTTTGTTTATTTCTTTATTATTGTGGGCATTAAAATCCTGTCGGTGGAATGACAATTACATATTACTGTATATATGTGAATAAGCACCAGGAAAGGAAGATGATTTAAAAACAACCACCTCCGGAACACAGTGCAAACCAATGTAAAACACTTTTGAACGTGATAATATTCACAAAAAGAACCGGAGGGGGGAGGGGAGCGATGCTGAGCATAGTGGAGTTTGATGGTTCTGTAACTTCCATCCATGGATAATCATGGTGCAATAGCTCCACTTGACTTTTAGGACAATTATGAAAACATTTGTGGCTTTGGTCGCTGACAGCAACAAAGTGGTGTACAATTGGGGGTTTCGCTTGTGACCCCAAATTAGGAAGGTGATGTACAAGACCGGACGAACCCCCACGCCCACATTAGGTCTACATTGCCATTTCCATTTCCATATATAGCTCAAATATAATTTTAACCATTCTCAGATAAAATGAACAACCGACAAGGTTTCCTTAGTAATCATCGACTTATGGTGAAAGATAGAAAGAAACCACCTTCATTTTTTCCGAGGCCTCTCTGACAGCTATCAGAAAGATACATTTAGTTTAGACGTTTTGGATTTTCTTTACATCTCTTTGCTATTCATCATAAGATTCCGTTTGTTGTGAGACCCTGTTGAAGTGGTGCTGAAGTGGCCTTCCTTTTCTTTCACAATGGAAAGTAAAAGAACCATGGAGGGCAAGCTAGCATTGGCGTTTACTTGCCCAATGAGCTTGCATTGCATTGGAGTGAGTTAATTCCTTTCTATACATAGAATCTACTATGTTTTATAGGCACACAAGTCATTGGCCTGCAGAATTTAGATGGTTGCCTTGCCTATATATATATATACTCACCTCCTAGTACTTGGAAATTGGATAGGGTGGCCTCTTTCTGCCATATCTCAGATATGCACAAGGTTGGTAGAACCCTCTTGAACAAAATGTGCGGTCATATTTCAAATTTCTAATTATGAACGTAAAAGAAACTTAATAAGTATAATTGATAATTCACGTACACACACTGCTTAATTGTTCGGAAGGTTGTTATTTTATTCCCAAAACCAAAAGGCAACCTAATTAATTATACAAACAGACTGCAGGAACTAAACACACGTTAGTAGTTTAGCAGCCTCTTTCAAACAAGTTTTAACTCTTGGCAACCGCTTCTGTTTTGTTCTGATGAGCTTCTTCTAGCAGATTGAAGATATGTGCTTATGGGCCTATATCAACAACTTGTATAACTATTGTTTAGCATCCTCTGTTTGAACGGAAGAGGGAGCGTCATTTGTTTCTTTTGCTCCACCACCCAGGGTGCTTTCTTCCTTGGCAAGAAGCGGTCCAGTAATCAAATCCTTGGGTTTAGTGTCAGGATCAGGTTCTTCTGTCTTGTATTTGTACCATGAGGCCCAGTACAAATAGTTTACAAAGTTTAGGGAGCTGAGGATTGCTAAAAACCAGTAAAAGAGATTCAAATTGTTCTGGTTCAAGTCAAGTCCATGCAACCATCCTTGTTTGCTTGGAGTGATTCTTTTGGTCACGGAGTTTATGATGTTGACAAACAAAGTACTCAAGAAGTAGCCAAAAGACAGAGATAACCATGTAAACGATGTGGAGAGCGATCTCATGCATACCGGTGCTTCCTCGTAGAAAAACTCTAACAGTCCTACAAGAGTGAACATGTCTGCAATTCCAAATATTCCATATTGGAACGAGAGCCAGAAGAGACTTATGGGCTTGGTTATGTCTTTAAGAGCTTGATTCCTTCTTTTGACCTCAACAATACCGGCAACAGTCATTGAAATGGCTGACAGAACAAGCCCCACGCCAATACGTTGGAGTTGTGTGATGCCTGATGGATGATCAGATTTGTTCGAGCAAAAGGGACAAAAAAGAACTCATAGATGGAATCAGAATGGACATGAAGAGCCAATGGGATTACTGGATTGACGGAGCGGGAACCTCTTTTTTTCCAAGATGGCGATCCATGATATTGCCTTGCTGAACTGAGAATGTCTGCAGCTGTGCCATACATGTATTCATTATGATTGTACTGCCTAAAATGGGCAACATTCTGGTTAGTATCTTCACTTCTTCAACTTGGGTCACTGTGCATACCGTCCACGGTGTTAGCTTTGAGTCATTTGTAACAATTGCAGCTTTGTCTAGGCACCTGCTCACGATTCACAATCGGTTTTGTCAAATTTTGATTTTCTAGCTGTTAGTAACTTTAAATATTTTTAGATGCAATCACATGAATCACCTGAATTGATTGGTGTGGGAGATTGTTTCCTCCTCTGAAAACTTTTTCTTTTTCATTCATCTCGTACAGTTCTTCTGGATTCTCTGGCAGAGCTAGCCGTCTGTTTTTGATGGCTACCGCTATGACCTGTCATCATAACAAATAGGGGCGACAGAAGTGTTACCCTTGTTTCTATTTGACTCTGGCACTGATATGTTATGGTCTTATAAAAATTGCAGAGAAAGAGAGAGATTGACCTGAGCTATCCTTATGATGGGGCTATCAGAGGGTGTGGGTTCGCGCAGGCGGTAGTAAGGCTTGCCAAGTGCAAGAGCAACAAAACCAATGAAGGTAGCCACGGTTGATATGAAAAACCCCCAGTACCAGTCCTTTTCAGTGCTCACCCACACGATGCCTGTGACTCCAATACAGGCTCCAAGTGTGGTACTCAGCAACAGCCAATTGAAAAACCTTGCTAGAGCTTTTGCTTCCTTGGGATCTTTTTGATCGAATTGATCTCCCCCAAGCGCTGGAAGAGCTCCCTTAACCCCACCAGCGCCCAATGCTAGCAAAGCCAAGGAAGCATAGAGCATCACTGCCATGCCACCTTTTATGCAGCTGGGCTTGCCACAATATGTCGGATGCAAATCCTTTGAATAAGCCTGAATTGTCACCAATGCCAAACCCTGCAACAACCTAGTTTCACTTAGCTAATCCTAGTAAGGCAGGGTCCTTTGCTAGAGCCTCGGAATTAAGAAAATTAATTAAAACAAATATTTTCACTGCTAATTAAAAGATATTGACATAAATTCTCACCAGTACTTCAAGGAATCCAAAAAGTAGAGACGTAGTAAATCTACTTAAGAAAGTATCTGAAATGAAGCCTCCAAGAAGGGAGAGCAAGAAGGTTGAGCCCATAAAGTTTGTAAGAGTGTTTGCGGCGGCGGAAATATTGAAGTACATAACATAGCCGAAGTAAAGCACCAAGCTCACCATGTTGGCAACAAACCCATGTTTTCTAATGCCACCAACACTGCAAATAGAAAGAAACATGCATACATAATTTAGATAGAAGTCAAGCCTGGCTGGCTAGACAGATTTCATAGTCAGTACTAGTGTGCTTTCTTCTTCTATTTGGACTTGTGTTTCTTTGTATTTCATTAAAAAGATTGGCTTACCAAACACAAACGCGGATGCTTTGAATCCTCCTTTCTCCTTGTACTCGGATTTGGTCATCTCCTCGGGCCCCTGCGTGCAAAAGCAACATGAGCAGCAATAAACAAACAATGATTGAAAGAAGAGATGGAATTACCATGTTGGAGATGAGTAGAGAAGTTGAAGCAGGGGGAAATGGTAGAGGTAGAGCAGATGAGAGTGGCCCAGAGTACCATAATATATAGCACACAACCCATAATTTTAACGCTCATGACATTAGATTTGCCGCCAATTTGCTTTTCTATAAACCCAGAAGTTTGACTTATTAATTTCAGATACTCTTTGATTTCCTAGAAAATATCAGGTATCATCGAACAGAGCTTTCTATCATTGTCTTGATGTTGTCGATTTACGAATAATCCAAATTCTGTATTCGGTATGCATAATTACATATAATCATTTCATTTGTCTTCACAGACAAAATCTGACTTGGCTACGGCCCGCCTTTGATTAGAATATGCCATTTCCTACTGAATTAACGTACGCATTCTATCCAGTTTGCATAAAGACTGGTTAATTTTTATACTCCATTTCCATGTATATGATGATCGTGATCATACCATGATCAGGTTAAAGCTGATCAGTTGGTGTAATCCCAAGTTAAGCATAAACATATCTTTGTTCCACTTTTTGTCAGTAGCCTGGTTTCTTAGTTACAACTTACGATATGTGATACCACAAATCGTCATTTAAAAAGCTGGACTAGTGCGGATGGGAATGAGTATGCGAAAGTTTTGTTTGGATGCTCTTTCATGATGCTGGAGTGGGTGGTTTTATCAGGTTTGAGACGCTTTTACCTGATATTGTGTGTTTTTGGGATCTGTGGCTTTTTGGATTTCACATCCTCATGTTGGGATGACTGTGCTAGGAAGACCCTTTGGTGGCTGAATGCGATCCAGGTTTTTTGTAGAGATTTTTGTCTTTGGATTTCTTTGATTGTTCAGAATATGAATATGATGTGCACTGGACAGTCAGTTGCCTACTTTGGTCTTAGGCTTAGGAGGTTATGCTTGTATATAGAAAGCGTACAGGGAGGGTTTTTTGTGTACATTGCTTTGAGGGCTACTGGGCAGGGCAGGTATAGGCAGGCCAGGAATCCCCTCCTTTTTGTATAGATTTTTGGGTCCAGGGCATGTGGTGTTGATTCAGGGAGGTTACCTTCTCAGTGAAGGGTAACAGATTCGAACTGCCTGTTTCTTTTCCCAGAGATAAACCAGTTTGGCTTCCTCTGATCTGAACTTTCCAAAAAAAAAAAAAGAACGCTAGCCAAGCCAATGGAAGTGTAAACTTCCTTAAACGTTTTCTCTTTCCTCCTCCTCTTTGGGTTTGCTATTGAGAGAGAATCATGCAAAAATCTTGAATACCCCATTTATTACAAATTCCGAGCTTTCTTACGCACTCAACAATGATAAATGCCTATATTTTGGCATATTGTTTTAAATAATTAAGCTTGGTAAAATCTAATAAGAATAGATTTTACATAAATTTCAAAAAATGAGCAGGCAGTAATCAGGGCGTCTACTTTCCATTAGAGAAGAATCGATTTTAGTGGAAATTACTTATAGGTACATTATTCGTTTATAACAATAAGTACGTGTAACGTACATTCACACTTGGAGTTTGGAGCAGGCGGGAAACATAAAAGAGGCTTCTTGGTTCTTTAGCTACAATCAGGAGAAGGGAAAAAAAAAAAAAGGCTTTAGCTAATCCTAAACCCTTACACTGCTGCTCTTCCTTCCTTCTTCTTTCTCAGCCAAAAATGGGCATCAAGGTCAGGTTTTTTGAGCATTACTATGTTGGGGCTTCTTTTATTAGAATATTGATCCATGTTTCCCGATTTCGTTTTGATGTTTAGGGTTTAACGAAGCTTCTAGCGGACAATGCACCCAAGGCCATGAAGGAACAGAAATTCGAGAGCTATTTCGGCCGCAAGATCGCCATCGACGCCAGCATGAGCATTTACCAGTTTCTCGTCCGTATATCCCGTTGCTTTTTTATTTCCTTGAAAAGAAGAAAAAAAAAACCTTAACTTTATCCATATGCTATCATATTCATTTGGGGGCTAAGGCTAGCTAATAATGTAAAACGGGTCTCTTTTGTTATTGGGTGAGTGCAGATTGTGGTGGGTCGCAGTGGGACTGAAATGCTCACCAATGAAGCGGGTGAAGTCACCAGGTTTGTTACTATAGTTTTTCATCAACTATTTATCCTCTTTAATTCTCTAGAATTGTCTTTCGCAGATTTTTGCAATTTCCTTTTCACTCTTGTTTATAATTTTGCTTGGTTCACAAAATGTTGACATGGGTTCTACTGGGTTAATCCTCAGTCATCTGCAAGGCATGTTTACTCGCACAATTCGGCTTCTTGAAGCTGGGATCAAACCTGTGTAATGCTCTTGTTTACCTTTTCTTTTCAATTTCTTCAGAAAGAAGTTACTTTTCAACTGTTTACACATTATCTGTCCTGTGCTGCCTATATGGTATGACTTCCAAAAGTCCTTCTAGTTGCTAATGCTTGGGCTATTTCCTTTCAGCTATGTTTTTGATGGTCAGCCTCCTGATTTGAAGAAACAAGAGCTTGCAAAACGGTACCTTTGTGCAGTCTGTACAGTTTGCCTATTGCTTGTTCCCTTCAACATCACTGGAATTTTTTGAGCCTGTCGATTCTATTTGATAATTTTTGTACTAAATTTGTCATGTAGTTACTCAAAGAGGGCAGATGCTACTGAGGATTTGCAACAAGCCATGGAGGTACTCTTCTTCCATTGCTCGCATAGTAAGTAATAAAGTTTTGTTTAATTGTTTCACCACTACATAACATCAAGGTGCTATTATTTGTAATGTTAGGCTGGCAATAAGGAAGACATTGAAAAATTCAGCAAGCGGACAGTAAAGGTGAGTTCTTTTATCATCCTTCTGCTCCCAATGTTAGATATGAGAGCTCACTGTCTAGTTGGCACTTATTTCAGGGTTTATAATCATGGTAGAAACGCAAAAGGTCTGGATAAAAGAAAAATGTGCATTAAAGTGTGTTGTTGGCTTTATTTGCTTGATATATTGCAGGTGACAAAGCAGCACAATGAAGACTGTAAACGGCTTTTAAGACTTATGGGGGTACCTGTGATTGAGGTGAGTTTTCATTATTTAAGTGTGAGGTTTTGGATTTTGGGTGCAATTAGAAGCTAAATTGAATCCAGGGACTTATGTTTTTGTTTCCATAGGCTCCTTCTGAGGCAGAGGCTCAATGTGCTGCACTTTGCAAATCACGAAAGGCAAGTATCTGGTTGATCATGATAAGTTGTTTATATAGGGATTTATTAGTCCTGAAAATGGACATGTAATAACCGCATGTGTCTTTATGAGATTGAAATAGTTCAAATTTGTTTCCAATATCATTTGAAAAAGCAGCTTATTTTAATTTTCAGTTCTTTCACACCATTTGCTTTTAATGACCTAGTGCTCTATATGGCTTTAAGAGTTAAAAGAGTGCCTTCATATTTATGTCTCTCAAGTAATGCTTGCTAGTAATTGAGCATCCGTTGGTTTTAGGTTTATGCTGTGGCTTCTGAGGATATGGACTCTTTAACCTTTGGAGCTCCTAGATTTCTTCGCCATTTAATGGACCCTAGCTCAAGAAAAGTTCCGGTCATGGAGTTTGAAGTTTCAAAGGTGCTTTGAGCGTTACATACTGATGTAATTTGTTGATTTTTCCCTTTGCTGTTCTAATGTGGGATATGTGTTAGGTTTTGGAGGAGCTGAATCTTACCATGGATCAATTCATTGACTTGTGCATTCTTTCTGGATGTGATTATTGTGACAGCATTCGAGGTATTCTGGGATTTTCATTTAGGGTTTCTGACCTCTATTTTACATGATCCACTTCAAAGTTGGGTTTTATGGTTGGTATGTGATATCATCATTAACCTATGCCACAGGAATTGGGGGACAGACAGCTTTGAAGTTAATTCGTCAACATGGGTCTATAGAGCATATTCTTCAGAACATAAACAAAGAGAGGTCTGAATTGTTTTGTTTTTATCTGTGTGAAATGACTTGTACATATCCACGGAATTATCACCCTTAGAGTTTTGGTGCTTTTTTTAGTCGGTAATGTCTTACCTTAAGTGAAATTAATTAGACGCTAAAAATATTTTTCTCAATGACTCTTATCTCGTTCTTCTTTTCGTCCTTTCTACCGTTCTTTATTAGTTTATTTATTTGTTTGTTTCAGATGCTTATTTAACTTTTCACATATTTAGTGTACAGTTCCATTCCTTTGCAAATCTTCTGATTGGATTTGATACCAGTGTTTATAGAGTTATTCCGTCAGTATCATTCTTGGTGTAATGACTTTGATGGGGATCTTGCAAAATATCGCTTTTCTGAGCAACTGTGTGATTTACTAATATTAGTTTCTATTAACTGTTAATATAATAAGCATACCATAATTTCTTAGCTTGATTTGCTGTTTTATTTCTGAATTCTGATAACAATAGTTGGTAGTCACCATCAGAGAGTAACTCTTTTGAGCTCAAATAATTTTTTAAAAAAAAGTTTAACTTTTTAACTCATGGTGTCATTTAAGTCATGTAAACTAAATTTCTGCTCTCCTATGTAATAGGCAAGTAACTCATTTTATTCTGATATTAATATAAAAATTCCCATGTTCAGATACTCAATACCTGATGATTGGCCATATCAAGAGGCTCGACGGCTTTTTCAAGAACCATTAGTCTGTACTGATGATGAGCAACTTGAGATGAAGTGGAGTGCTCCAGATGACGAAGTGTGCAATTCCTTATCCTGATTATGTATACTGTTCTAAGGGGTAACTCTCTGGCAAGTTTAATACAGTTGCATTGTTTTGTTGATTTGCTAGGGGTTGATAACCTTTCTGGTGAATGAAAATGGGTTCAACAGTGACAGGGTGACAAAGGTGTGTCCTCCCTTTGTTATCTCAAACAGCTTACAACTCTTTTTTGTTGCATTAATAAAAAGATTAGCTATCTAACTTTATTACTTATGTTTACTAGGCAATAGAAAAAATTAAAGCAGCCAAGAATAAGTCATCTCAGGGCCGGTAAGTAGTGCTTAGTTACATGGGATGATGCTATAAGTTTCTGTGCTATGGGTTATTATGTCTTATATCCTTTTCTTTACAGATTAGAGTCATTTTTTAAGCCAGTTGGTAACACATCTATGCCAATTAAACGGAAGGTATGACTCCACTAAGCATTTTGAGTAACCATCATTAATTTATTCTTGTCTTGTTGCCTGGTGGCTGATTCTAATGAAATACATTTTTATTCATTTTGGCCCTTGTTGCATTTCATGTTTCATCTGAATTTATTTTTCTTTTAAATCTGCATTAATGGTTGTTGTTTGTTCATTTTTTACATTAAATGGTTATTGTTTTTCTTGCATTATGCTAAGTTGACTTTGCAAGACTTTGTTTGTCTTATGTGGGGGTTTTGTCATTTATAAGTTTTTTTTCTTAACAATAGAAAGGGTTCATATAGAAGTATGAAGGATTGGTGCTTTGTTTAGTTTTGAGAAATATATTAGGTGTTAGATAATCTTTCCTCTGAAATTTATAAAGGAAAAAGTATGAAAAGTAGTACATTCTCTGATGCTTGCTCTAATCTAGTGTAGGCTTATTGGCTGCCATAATTTCTCAGTACACTGGTTGACAGGGAACCAAATGCATGCTTCAATTTCCCAAACCAGCACTCAAGTCTAAGATACTCTCTCCACAAGTTCATGAATTTTCCAGGCCCAAGGGTTTTGGCAGCATGCCAACATTGGGGCTGGATTTCAAGCACTCAGCGGCATTTTCTAGAGGTGTCTGCTTTGGCATATGAAGCTGAAAACTGTGGTGAACGTCAAAGCGAATCTGTGCTCATTTTTTTTATTGAACATCAGATTCTTATATATTATGGGAAAGTGAATGTAGTGCTATTATCATTGTTCTCATTATCATAAATAGTTTTTTAGTGTTAATGATAGGAATGTGAACCTAGTACAAGAAACTCCTGCCAACTCCACTTTTTGTCTGGTTGTTCACTTTGATACTTGTGGTGGTTAAAAGTCTTAAGACACATAATCTCTGTATAGGGTTAGAGCTTTATCTATTAAGTGATTGATTACCCTGACAAAGCCGAGTTTCGATTATTATTATCTTCTTTCCTGTTTCTTATAAATATTCATTGGCAAAATCCTTTCAGTACTAGTAGTTTACCTTGTAGTTGCCTCTTATGATTTGGTTGTATGCATGCATAAAGTCTTACTGTGAAGTTTCAAGGGAAAACCTGTTGAGTTTGAGTAGTAGTTTACCAGAAGGCCAAGCTTTGACCATATCCTTATCCGAAGATTCTCCTATTCATAGCAGTCTTATATTGTTAGACTCCAATTTAGGATCCAAGTCAATCTTTTTATTTTCCTGTTATTCATTTTTTATCTTTACTGTGATGTATCAAAGGGAACAGAGTTGACTCGAAACAAACTAACTCAGACTAGAGGGGCAAGCTTTGACTATTTCCTTCTCATGAGATGTCTTTTATTTAAAACAATTTTGTCTTGTTATACTCCCGTTATTGTTCAAGTCAATCTTCTTTTTCATGTTGTTCCATTTTTATCTTATTGCGAGGGTTCGGCCAATACTCAAGAGTCGAGTCCAAGTAAACTTGTATGTACTAGAAGGCGGAGCTTTAATCATATCCTTCTTACTAGATCTCACCTACTCAAAGCATTTTTATCTTGTTGGATGCCTATTAAGAACCCTTTTTTTTTTTCTTTTTCTGTTCTTCAATTTTTTTCTTGGGATGTGAGTGATGACTGTGTTTGTTTTTTGATGTCACTTGTTAAATTGTTTTATTGAAAATATATAGCACGATGCTTCACCACTACTCTACTCTGTGTCATGTAATCTCTCTTTTTTTTTTTTCTTTCTTCTACAATTACATCTTAATTCTGGAGTTGATTATGCTCTATATGAATTTTTTGTCATCGGCATGACAGGAAACACCACAGAACATCCCTAAAGAAACTAGTAACAAAAAGTTGAAGGCTGGTGGGGGCAAGAAAAAGAAGTAATTGAGTGGTGGATGAGCAACTGCATTGATCAGATTAGACTATTTTGTTTTTCTCAATGAATCTTTTCTATAACTTATTGGTTTTTATATTTTCAAAGACAGTCCTCTGGAAGCTTTGATGTATAATCTTTGATTGTTGAAGGAAGGCAAAGACCATAATGGACATCTTTATTGTGAAGAAGCAAAAAGAAAAAAAAGAAAAAAACGTTCATCCTTTGTTGTAGAGTTCCATGTTACTGTTTTATTTGCTGGTAGTGTACGGGTCTGGTTCCAATACATTTGAGTGATATGATTGAAGTAGAGGTGGATAAAATGTTATAGGGGTTGAGATAATGAAAGGGTAGTTGGTATCTTTAGATGGTTTGAGGACATAGCCCTTAATTGAGCAGGTTGGAGAAATTGTTGCCAAAACAATCTCATTTACAGCTAAAGCTTTAGCTGATTTGAGTTGTGCAGTAGCATACCAGGATCTTCATAACATCTTACAGTATCTGAACAGAACTAACCGAATCCAATGGCTGTCAGGCATACTGTTTTTGGATTATTGAGATTTGAAGTTTTATGAGCTATTTGGTGGGTCATCGCTTTCTTGAATGTGGGAAAGTTGGGATTTTAAATCCAACCATTTAGATATGGTAGTTGAAAAGGTGGGCTGAAAGTTGAAATTCAAGTTTTACACCATCATTACCATCATATTGTTAATTTAGTATTCTCACAACTGTATATGCAGTTTTTTCAAGTGGTACATATGCCCGTTTGTTATTTCATGAGCTTGAGCTAAGAGTCCGAGAGAGATGTTTCCAGTGTTAGATTGGTGTAAATCTGACTTTGGTGGCTGTTAAAACAGTGTGTATCTTTGTATTTAAATCAAATTTCATTTTCTATCAAACCTGTCACCTAAATTATCATCATTGCAGATGCGTGAAATAATTGAAGGGTGAACTTTGTTCTTGCAAAAGATTATTATTGGTAAAAAGTAATTTTTTCCTTTTTGACAAAACAAGAGCTCAACGAAAAGCTTCTGACAAAATCTTTTCTTTTCTTTTAAAATAAAAAAATATTATTTTTCTCTCTTTCTCCTTTTTCTTTTTTAAATAAATTACCACTGTTCGATGTAAACCGTGATCTCTTCTTTTTGTTTTTATAGAAAGTAAAAGAAAAAAAAAATCTAAAATTTAAAATTGCATTTAGATAAAGTTCTTTCTTTCTTCATAAAAAAGAGATTTAATGTCAAGGACATTGTTTTTTCTTTTCTCTTCCTTCTTGTGATTTGTTAGATTGATAAAAGTTTAATACTATTATTACTACCCAAAATTTAAAAATTATTTTTGTATGAATATTTTTAATTTTAATAACTAAAATTTGATTGATTGAAAATGATAAAAATATCTTTTATGATAATTTTAATTAAAATTAAAACTTATATAATTTATTTTACTAAATAAATGATTAAGCTAAACAAACTCTTACAAGAAAATAATTGAGCAGATCCAATTTGACCCTAATGCAGTATGCAAAAGTTTAACACCATACATAAGGTCGATGATCTGTTGAAATTATCAAAAATCATATGTAGCATTAATCTCCAGCCATTCCTTCCTTTGTCTCCTAAAGAGGTATACAGTTATAGTATTAAACTAAAATCCAAAATTCCTAGCTGAGAATCTACTCATTTCATCAAAGGCCTCAATATGGATACATCATGCAGACTAGAAATGAACTTCATTGCATCCTTTGCTTGGCATCAGAGATTTGAAACATGAGCTGCAAAAAGTAAAAGGTTTTAGGTTAAAATTAGTCCTTGCCAGCCCTCGAGATGTTAAAACCTCATGAGGATACTTGGCATCCGGAAAACATTTGAAGCTGCCTCTTGCCATTTACCTTAGTTCCCACATAAAATGACAGAAGCATAAAACCCAAGACAGACAGTCCTGAAAAAAGGTATTTGCATTAATTGGGCAACAATGAAGTACACAGGAAAGAGCTTTATCAGGGTGAAAGGTATATCACACTCCCACACCTTCTTTTCGGAGGAATTGAGAAATCAACCAATTAATGCCTGACGGACCAATAACATAGCCAACGAGGTTAGCAACCTGCATATGAAGAAAAGAATGATAATAGCAAATGTAAAGAGCAATTCTCATATGAAGCATCTACTTGGTTCTAAACTGCAGTTGCAAAAAGACATCCATTTCATCATAATTTTTGCTTGCTTCCTACTCGATAAGGTGTTATTAGGTTGGTATTTTTGCTATTTACTTTTTGTTTTCAGAAGCAACTAAGCAAAACGTGTGTTGGATACCAAAGCAAAATATGTAAATTTTTTAAGATGACAAAATGCATGATTCTATTTCTATAGCGTAATTATGTTATAATTAGTTTTACATCTCAATTATTTGTCCATTTCAAACATATTATGATATTGCCTTTCATGCATTTGCTTTATAGCAATTTTAATACAGCAAATAACAAAAAATAAGTACTAAACAATCAACCAATTGGAGCCTAAATAACCGTAATCAAAAACATTCATTATCCAACAAATTCATGATCATAAATTTGACAAGAAAAATTTTCAAAATAGGCTTCTCTTTGCTAGTACACATTGCTTAACAAAAAGAAGAACCAATGAACATTCATTGGTCCAGCCGTACAGCAAAAGGTGCATTGCACAGAAGGCAAAAGCAAGCAACTACAATCACAACTTCTGGAACTGAACAAACTCCTCAACATACATCAAAAAGTGGAACACAACACAAATATCATGTGTAGATAAAATGCTACAATGAAAAAATGTGGAGTAAATTAGAAGCTGCAATATTAAATTTTCTATGCACACTAAGACTGACCATGAGACAAGTGATTGTGATAGCACCAGCAGCTGCTCTAAGTTCATGAAAAATGAATCCTCCCAAAGCACCCTCAGCCTGACAGCAAATTTCATTGGAACACTGAACTTAGACAATCATGGGGCTTGTTATAAAAGAAGAAAATATTTGTTGCCTTATTTTATACCCTTAATAACAGCATAGAAAAAGTATCTGGTGCCATCTCAACACCTTATAACCATATGATGCTAGGATAATGGCAAAAAAAAAAAAAATGATTAAGTCCGTAATCTCATGTAAAAAGTTTACATGTCATTATGTGCATGCACTCGATGGATGATAAACATCATCAGCACACTACCCATAAATAATGGCCATGGGTCATGAGAACAGTGTTGCTGAGATTTTAAGCTTCAGGGTGACCAAATTAACCATCTGCCAACTAATTTACATGCAAAACTTGTGCAACCAAACAGTACATAGACTTGCGTCACTTTTCCCCTATGAGCTCTAAAAGGGATCCAGTGAGGTTAACTTCAGGCTGAACGTTGGATACAATAGCCCAAATCACACAAGATTAAAACCATTTGTACTTTATACAACCTCTTTTTCATTTGCATGAATGAAGAGAGGTCAACATTAGCAACAGATTAATTGCCAGACACTGATGCCAGCCAGGTGCCCTCAGGCTAACTAACAAGGCTAAAAAGTGCCAGAATCTTCATGACAGTGGTAATAATCATGCCAAAATAATAACTGGTAGAAAACATAGACTTAACCTGCAATGCATTTGCTGCTGATTTCACCAACATTTCAGGAACAAAGAATAAACATGTTAGCCATGCCCATGAAAGAAGTTTCCTAAGACCAAAGGCAATATGCAGTTAGATAAGGAATAGGCTACATGTTCATAGAACAGAATAAAGAAAAGAACAACCCAAAAGCTCAAGATTATACCACTCCAAATCATGCCATATAGCGACAAATGTGAATATAACCCATATGTTGAGTAGCTTTCTCCGAGATCCACCAAGAGGAATATACATGTACCTGAAAATTGCGATCATTTTGTAAGCCAACAAGTCAGACATAAATATGCAGAAAAGAGAACCAAAGAAAAAGTATCCAGAAATGAAAACCTCACAATCCACTTGTTGAAGGACGCATGCCAACTTTTCCAAAAACTTTCTAAATTGTGGCAATTATTGACACATTTTGGCATGTTTTCAGGGGCCTCAATGCCAGCTATCTACAATTATAAATTGCAAATGAATATCTTCATACAGGTACAGATACTAATGCTAAAAATTGTAGCACAAGTTAACAGGTAAGCCAAGGATTAAACCATCTAAGAAGGAATTCAACAAGGCTGCATGTAAAGGGAAAATATATACTACAGAAAACACATATCCTTTAAGTGAACATACCAGTGACCAAAACCGAAAATAGCGCCAGATAAGGAAAAACTTTAACCACATGAAGTTTATGACCTGTAGCAGCACGTGGACAGTGTTAGACTTAATTTTAATTCTTCATGCATTTACACTTGGAAAACTTGGGATCAACAAGATAAATAGCAACTTACCCAATATAACCTCTGTTCTTAACAACTTTAATGCATGGTGTTTGCTAGCTTCATTAGCATCTTTATTTTCAACCATACATCTCTTCTCAGTATTGATTTTAACAATGAGATTTTTTTCTTAACATTGGGTGCTTCCAGATCAATGTGGAATCAAGATATCTGACCACCCTATATGAGCTATTTCCATCTGGACAAGTCCAAATGGTACCAATTATACAGATAGAGAATGAAGGCAACATTTTATAAAGGGTAATATTGATTCGAGCACTTCTTTCTGTGTTAGGGAAAGTGGGCAAGGGCTGGAGTAGTTCTGTTCACGTATAATACTAGAGCTTAAGGCTCTGTAATTTTCTTAACTAATGAAAATGTACCGCATCATACAATCAATGCAAAAAATCCTGACTTCGTATCACATGAAAAATATCCTGTTAATAAAAAAAAAAAGAAATTTATCTTAAAGTTTGCCAAGAAAGATTTAGACTTAAATGCCTTACCCCATATCCAATGATGAATATGTCCATAGGGGATAACATTTTCCATGAACCACTGGTCATTGTGAAACAAATTTAGTTAGCATACAATAAGACTGCCTCTAAAGATTTCCTAAATCAAAATGCAAGCTTGAACTTTGAGTTCCAAGAGAGTCACCTGACAGCAAAGGCATTAAAATAAAACAAATGAGTCATTAGTTCCATAAGAGACAGACCAAATACCCAACGTAGCCCGTACCAAGTCACCTCTTTAACTGAGTAATAATTTTGTGGCACATCTAACTGCAAAAATTAGTAGCAAGGGAACCTAATGGTATTATACCACATGTCAATGATAAGTAGAAGTATGTTTGAATGGAAATATATGCAATCTGAAATACAAAAATATGTACCTATTAAATTGGGAAACTTTGCAACTATTTCATGAGAAAAGTGAATAAACTAAGAATAAAAGGTAAAAGTTCAGTGTTTGGGAAAAATAAATTTGAGAGGTGGATTTGGATTTAGTTTATTATAAAAATTGTGAAGGAAGTATGCAAGCATTATGTAAAAACTGGTGAAGATTAGAAAAACCTATTAATTTGAAAAAGAATAATAAGATAAATTTAAAATTCCCTTACTTAGTTTTGGCATTTCAATTCTATCCTTAAGTAGAGATCCAACAAATCTATAAATTTGGAAATAATCATGAAAGTCATGCTTTCTTGAGTTGCATGTATAACACAAATTATGTTAAGTTGGAAAACTAAACCCTTTCTTTCAAATTCAAGTGACCAAATGGAAACTAGGAGAATTTTACAATGAAAGGTATCTAAAGTCTAACACTCTCATCATTAATGAGAAATTCTCTGTGTGCGTGTGTGTGTGTATAGAGAGCAAGAGAGAGAAGAAGAAGAAGAAGAAGTAATAGTATCCATCATGAAAGTGACAAACCTGGGAGGCAAATGCATTAAAACTTATGATTGGCCCTGAAATGTAAATAGGTGCATACACCAGGTAACTAAGGTATATAGTAAAGGTAAAATTGTTGGTATGGACATTTCTCTCCTGCATGACAAATATATTTATAAGAAAATAAAGTTATACTTTCAAGCAATAGCAACAAGAAGATGGCCTCTGATTTAATTAGCAACTAACCTGTAGAATTTGATAACAAATTTTTCCTGATTTACAAACATGGCATCTTTGGATATGCTTCTGCAATTACCAAAACAGGAAATCATCTAACAACTTGATTCTAATTGGACAAAATATACAGATCTGAGTTTTCACACATGTAAAGAAAAACTCTCAAGTAAACATGCCATGTATGAACCTAGAAACCAGAAAAGTTTCTAAGAAAAATGGAGACATAGAGAGTTAATTTTGATGGATAGATCTGTAATGCTGGATATCTTAATATTAGTGGGAAAGTTTGGTACAAGTATGCCAGATATCTTTGTGACAAGTATGTGAAGTTTGGTGCACCCGAGCATTTGGCTCATTGGTTGGTGCATAATCGCCCTGCCTAATGAGCAGGGTTCGAATCCGGCCTCTCCCAACTATAAAAAAAAAAGTATGTGAAGTTTGGTAACACGTAAACAGTACACATCTGAAACCAGAGTTTCGACAGTAGATTAACTTATTTGCAAAAAGACATAACGATGATGCTGTACTTAATCATAGCTGCACCAAGTTTAAAGGATGCCCCAGAAATGCAGAAAGGAAGCAAAGAATGGCTTATATCCTTTTACAAGACAGACAGGTTCTGAAGGACAAAGCTACAATACCTAGACTACTTATGATATAATTGTCCACTGTTCAGCGACTTTTTATGTCATTTACCTAACAGATAGGGTAACAGACCTAATAGTCAAATTGATATAAATTAGACAGAAACCAAGGAATCATGCATAGTGGAGATACAAGAAGTGGCAGCAGAAGGTAAGGGGAGGGGGGGAGTAAGAGGGAGAGAAAGAGAGGAAACTACCTCTTGATCAAAACAAGAATCTTGATGTGCCCAATGGTAATCGTAGCCAAAGCTTATCATGCGCAAAACAACTTCAAACAAATATATCAAAATAAATACTAGTAAAATGTACCATATGATGGTATGTAAAAAGTCACATGCCATCTTAAGATTCAGGAAGCTAGTTAATGAACATCACTCATTGATTTAGGTAGGAAGAACATTCTTCCTTAAGAACCTTAAATAATTTTGTTATAAACAGTAATCGTTTACTTAGAATTCTCATTATTGGAATCAGGACAGACTGCTAATGCGTAAATCGCCTTTTTATACAAGTCTTGCCAAGTTGACCGTTGTTTGTAAAAACACATTCTGCACTAAGGAGGTTCAGCATAAGCGTTTGTCCTTCAGAGGTGAGTTTCAAACATCAAAGGTATTTATTTGTGAGGCCTTAAATTTTAGTGAATGCTGATACCACTGACAAGCAATTCATGATATTTTATAACCCATTTATGGAATAGAACTTGTGAGTTAATATTAATGGTCCGCCCAAAGAACATATGTTCAATCCAAGGGCAATAGCAGCATGCCAGACATGGACCATTCCAGGCACAAAGGCTTACTAACTTCCTGGTTGATCTATACACCATTTACTGAACTCATCTAAAATAAATGAAAGTGATTTGTTTCTAAGAAAGAAAACAAAACCAATACTATGCTTTTTCTGCTATTGGGTCACAATGTCAGCATGCTAATCAACTAAGGTTCTAAGCTTGCTAACAGGAACGTTGCATCATTTCTTTTGTGCATCTACTAGGTGCATCTACTAAGATTGCATTATATTCACTGAATTCCAATATCAATAAAATGTAAATGCAAGGATGTACCAAAGTTAAAGCAAATGTGCCATCTAAATGTGCCTCGAAAATTGTCCAAATATGCCCAGCGTTGCCTGCACGAAACAAAAGAAAGGCAATTATAGTAAGCAAGATTAGCATACCAACCAAATAAAAATCATGTAGCTTAGACTACTCACCCAAACTTGGAGAACGAATATCCTTGATAAACACGGTTGCAAAAAAGAAAAAATAGGTTGAAAGTCCAAAGTACAAGAGGGAAGTACTTTGCCTTTGCAAATATCTGTGGAAACAGAAATCTAGTAATGGCATTAAATTAGATGCATTTGCAGGCAATAATGACGATGGCAAGATGCAAAAACAAACTAGAATTTAGAGAAGAAAAATGAATTAGAAAGGAAAGAGTTGGAGGAAATGAACCTTTACTAGAAGAAAGTTTGCTGAAGCAATTAAAAAGATAAAGACGATGCTGCGAAAAGAATGGGGAAAAAGGGTTAACGTTACCGCAGCAAGAAAAGAAGAAGACAAGGTTTAGTGATGAGTAAAATGAAGGGAACCGACCAAGCTCCATGAAGATAAGAAAGGTAAATGAGAGAAAGGAAAAGCCAAACAATGGACATCCCTCTTGCTCTCAAATGGAAACATTGCCTTGAGATATTAGCGAGCATGGTAAAGACTCCAAAGACAAGGGTAAGAAGGGGTAAATTTGCGCGGAAATTTCTCCACTGGGCATCAGAGACATCCTACATAGAAGAAGACAAAGTGAGCTTTGGTCTAATGACTGAAACAATAGAAATTAATCATGAACTAAACTTTGAAACAAGAGGTAAAAGGCGAGAACTTGGGAGTGCAAAATTGGATCTTTATCACAGGTAGGGAAATCCCAAAATGCAGTAAAGGAAGAGCACCGATGATAGTAAACATTACATACATTGAGACGAGGAGAGAAAAGCCATCCGCTACGCAAACCGTACAGTTTGGGGAAATGATCTGCAAAAAAACAAAGCAAATTGGATTTACATAATACAGTAGCATATGAGAAACAAAAATAAAAAAAGTAAAAAAGAATCAAAATTGAGAAAGAAGTACGTCGAGAAAGGTGAAGAGAACGACGGATGCAAAAGGCGTAGAAGCCAATTGCATAAAGTATTAGAAGGAACAGCTCCACTTTGTTCTGCTTCTGTTTTAATTTACCCTTACTATTATTATTGTTATTATTCATATTCACAGAAGAAGAAGAAGAAGAAGAAGATGAATAAAATCTCTGCTCTAGCAAGCAGCAAGTAATAATTATTAATTAACTAATAAACCACCAGCCGCTGCACTCTCCAGATTCTGTTCTTCTCCTTCATTTGCATCGCCCCCCAAATTTCCAAACTTTGCCATCATGGATTATCGTCCCTCCCTAGCCCAAGTTCTATTCGTTTGTGGGCTTTCGCTACCTTCGAAATTGTGTCGCTCCCAATCATTCTCCAAAATAATAAAGTACCAAATGGTGGTGAAAAAGTAACCCTCATTGCCACGAATTATGTCTTTTCACTGTAATAGTTGATACAGCATTTGAATAAATGCTTTTTATATAAGTTAATTGATACTCGATTATATCTTATAAATATTAATAATAGTAATAAATCAGATTAAGAGAATATACATCAAAATTATATAACATATCTAATATCATATATGTAATCATTGAGTCATAAAAAGAAAAAATATTTTATTAATATGAAAATAATTACAAATGGACCAAGACACGTCATTATCGGGTTATAGGGACAGTTTTTGATGATTTGCTACAAATATACCTTTACCAGTAAGGTAGTCTAACAATTCACTGACTGCTCACTTCTTATAAAGAGTTTACTACGAGACTTTAAACATATTATACGAATAGCCATTACAACACTTGAAATGAGGATATTCTTTTCCTAAAGTATCTTTCTCCTTGAAGACTTAACAAGTATTTTTAGAGATGTCACTACGAGTCATTACAATATGTAAAAGAGGAACATTTCCCTTACAAGTACAAACGACCCAATCTCTTAGACCAGTTTACACTATCATAGTCCGATACAAGTTGGCTCGTGACAGCCTCCCCCACTCAATCTGTTGACGTCCTCGTTGACTTATTGGCTTGAAATTCTTCAATCTTCTTCTAGAAAGCACAAAGATCGACTCCCTTCTCCCAAGTGATTTCATCTGGCCCCAAACCTTCCCATTTCACCAGATACTCTTGTGTCGGTCGTCGGTTGATTATCATCGTCCTCCAGACCAAAATCTCCTCCACTCAGCACTGTGATGGTGGCTCTTGTGGCTCGACTTCTAGTGGCATCTACTGAATCAACATAGAAAGGGTCAGATTGCTAACGTGAAACATAGCGTGTACCTTCATCCACTTGGGTGGATCAATCCTGTAAGAAGTCCTCCCCACCTTGGGTACAATTGGTATTGAAGGTTCATACTTCTATACTACACTTCGATCTTTCTTCCTTAAGAATCGAAGTTGTTCGGGTACCAACTTCATTAGCACTAAGTCTCCCACCTTAAAGTGTTGCTCTCTTCGACCTCTATTTGCCCACTTTTTCATGTGGTTGGAGGCTTTCTCTAAATAAGCTTTGACGATTTCAATGTTTTGTTTCCACTATTTAGCAAAGTTGAACGCCCGTTGACTTTTCCTGCTATACAATTCCACTGAGGTAGAAGGAAGTCATGGTTGTTGTCCAATGATGACCTCGAAAGGGGTTCTATTAGTGGTTGAGCTCTTTTGTGAGTTAAACCATTGTTGAGCCACATCTAGTAGGTTGGGCTAATTCTTCTAATTCGCTTGTAAAAAGTGTCGTAGGTATTTTTCCAATAACCTATTGAAGCGTTTTGTTTGACAATATGTTTGTGGGTAATAGTTGGAAGATATATTGAGTTCTGACTCCAATAATTTGAACAACTCTTTCAAGTAAAAACCTATAAACCTTGGATCTTTGTCCCTGATAATGTTTTAGGAACACCCAAATATTTTACCACATGTTTAAAAACAGTGCGAGTTATTACTTTTACAAAGCTAAACTTCTACACTGGAAAGAACATCGCAGACTTGGAGAACCGGTCCACCACTACTAAGATAGCGATCATATCTCCTACTTTTGGAAGTTCTACAATAAAGTCTAAAGAAATACTTTTTCATGGTTTAGTCGGCACTGGTGGAGGTTCGAGCATTCCCGTCGGTCTCTATTTGTCTACTTTGTCTTGTTGGCAAATGAGGCACGTCTTTAAATAATTCATCACATCTTGCCGCATATGAGGCTAATAGTAACCTTGTTTCAATAGTATAACGGTCCATTACCAACTTGGATGTCCTGCCCAAAGAGTATTGTGACATTCTCGCATTAATTTCTGTATAAGCTCTCCCGCTCTTAAAACAAATATGCATAGTCCCTTCGTTAGTAAGAGTCCTTTTTTCACCAAAAAGTATTTTGACTTTCCACTTTCTACCAACTTCCTAGTGGCCATTGCTTGGGGGTCTCGATGTAAATTTTTCTCAATCAAATAACGGATATCTATGATCACTCTATTGGCTATCATTAGCGTGATCACACTTAGAGCTATGAATTCAACCTTTCTACTGAGGACATCTACCTCACAGTTTGCTTTTCTAATTTTATGCTTGGAGGAGAAATCAAATTCAGTTAGAAACTTTTGTCATCTCGCTTACTTAGCTGTAAGTTTTGGCTATGTGAGGAAGTGACGTACGATTGTATTGTTGATCTTAACCATGAATTGTGATCTTAAAAAATAATGTCGCCAAGATCGTAAATAGTGAATCACTACAAGTAGTTCTTTCTCTTATGCCATGTATCTCTTCTCCTGTTGCCACACCAAGTGTCCTTGTAGCAACACTCCTCTAAGGGTAAAATCTGATGCATCCGTCTGTACTTTGAAGGACTTTGCAATATCAAGGAGTGATAAAACAAGATCTGTCATCATCATGTCATTCAAGCCTTCGAAGGAGTGATAAAACAAGATCTGTCATCCTCTACGGTGTTTGGCTCTACTTTTGTTCTTTTTTCAGTAATTTGATTAGTGCTACCATCTTTCTTGAATATCCTTTCACAAATCTCCGATAATAATTGGCTAACCTTAAGAAAGAATGAAGCTCAATTGTATTTTTAGGGTGGCCCATTCTTTGATAGCCTTTACCTTTTACATGTCTATCTGGATGTGCCCTTGTTTAATTATGTGACCAAAAAATTGGATTTGCGTTTGCACGAATGCACATATCTCCATTTTTTCATATAAATAGTTATGCATAGCCTTTGGAAGACTTGTCGCAAATGCCGTTGATGCTTTTTTAAGGTCGAATTGTACACCACGATGTCGTCCACGATGATTACGATGAACTTATATAGATAATTATGAAACACCTGATTCATCAGTGTGCAAAAGGTAGCAAGAGCATTGGTTAGTCCAAAAGGCATAACAAGAAATTCAAATGCGCCATATCTTATTACACAGATGGTTTTTAGCTTATCTCACTCAGCCATTCTTACTCGATAAGCAGCTTGATTCTTGGAAGTAATTTTATCTCGTGATCGATAGCTCATCGAGGCTGTAGGTTTTGGCATCATATCTTGAAATTTTTCTAAAACCAGTTTCACTTCTTTAAGTATTGGATTTGTGTTATGTTCGCCTTTGTAGATAGGCATGGCCACATAAGATGGCTTACCTTTCTTGATCCTCTTCTTAAACTGTATAGTTGATATAATTTTCTTCTTACTCTTAGGTAAAATTGTAACTGATACTACACATGGTCATTCTCTAAAAAACATTAAACCACTTGCAACAGGGAAAGGGATGGGTTGTGCTTTTGTCATAAAATCCAAGCTCAAGATAAAATCAAAGTCATCTATAATGGCTATAGTCAGGTTTATTTTCCCTTCCTACGTGCTAATTTTAACCTTTACATCTTTGACATTTCCTATGATAGCTGAAGCTAGAGAGTTAACTGTTTTCATTTGTCTAAAGTCCTTTTTAACTTTAAGATTGTATCTCTTTGCCTCTCCTGGGGTAACAAAGGCGTTTGAGGCCCCTGTGTTGAGCATGGCTTTGATATTTTTCTCATTCAATAATGCCTTTACATACATTAGACTTCATTGAGGCTCTTTATCCATCTTTTTTAACTATGCTTATAAGGCACTGAGGAAACGAATAGAACCTATTCATGGTGGTTTTTCCTCGACTTCTTTGACTGTGGTGTGGGGTAGGGGTGCCTCAACATTAGCAGTGCATATCGTACTAAGAACTACTCGGTGAGGACAGTCAGCTACTTGATGAGGTTTCTTGCATAGAAAATAAGATATCGGAGGTTATGGCTTGAAGTTCTATGGCTTATTTAGTCTCGGTTGGGGTAAGTCTCTAGCATGTGGTCTTTTATCGCCTCCCTAATTCGAGAGTCTGCTTACTCTTGAAAATTTTGCCCTATTGTTTGAGCTACAGCTATTGGTCTTGGATGGAAGGTCCTTTCTTTTATTGGAGTTTTCATTATAATCAGTAAGGTGGCCAGCAACCATCATTGTTAACGTCACATCCTGTACCTTTTATCGCTGTAATTTCGTCCTCGTCCATGGTTTCAGACCCTTGAGGAAATATAACAATCTATCTTTTTCAATTATATCCCTGATATCTAACATTAAAGTAGAAAAGTTCCTCACGAACTCTTGCACTGATCCTATTTGTGACAACTCCCGCAATGTCCGTCGCGCCATATACTCAACATTTTCATGGAAAAACTAGTTCTTCAATTCCTGCTTTAGGTGTGCCTAAGTGTTGATGCGACAACCTCGATCTCCTGAAGTTGCATTGGCATTACTTGCAGTAATACCGAAAAGATTTATTTAAGCTTTCAATTCTTCAATCTTGCCTTACGGAGTGCTCAATGCATTCTTGGTCTTATTACTCAGGGTATTAATCCTCTTGGATAGTTCCTACTTGACTATTTCAATTTCATCTATTTGCTCACGTGGAACCATTTGAGCTTTTACTGTCGCCACTCTAGCTCATCTATCCTTTGATGGCCTTCTATTGCATTCCGCGTGGTTACCAGTTTTACTCTTTAGTTCAGCACGTCTTACTCCTGTTCTGGTACCAACTGTTCCAAACTATGTTCCTTCACTTAAGTATGTGATAATCCACGTGACATTTGAGTAGACGCTTCCACGTAAGCTAGCTGATACTCAGTTATATTTGATCAAACATGAAGAATAATAACAAATCAGGCTAAGAGAATGCGCATCAAAATCATAAGGCATATTGAATATCATATATGCAACAATTGAGTAATAAAAAGAAAAAATATTTTATTAATATGAAAATAATTACAAAGGGACCAAGATATGCCATCGTTGGGCTATAAGGGCAGTCTTAGATGATTCATTACAAACATACTTTTATTAGTGAGGTAACCTAACAATCCTCTGATTGCTCACCCCTATAAAAAGTTTACGAAGTCTTACACGTATTTTACCAATAGCTATTACAATGCTTGAGATTAGAATAATCTTTTCCTAAAGGGTCTTTCCCTTTAAACACTTAACAAGTATTTTTAGAGATGTCACCACGAGCCATTATAATATTTGAAAGATGGACATTTCCCTTATAAGAACAAAAAACTCAATCTTTTAAACAACTCTACCCTATCATAGTCTGATACAAAATTGATTCATGACACTTATAATAGAGCAAAGATTTATTTATGAGTATGGGATTGGGACTGATGAACTATGAAGCATGGTCTATGTCACAGTACCTAGTAAAAATAAGCAGTATTAGTTTGCAAATCCTAACGCAGAGGATGAAATTGTGGTCACGAGGAATTATTAAATGAGATGAGGGCATGTGATGGACTTAAATACAAGGGGCCAGGAATGAGGTCAAAGAGCGCAAAATAGAAGCCACAGCCTGGCTGCTTGCGCCGACTTTTCAGTTTTGTAGATATTGGCAAAGGCAAGGCAAGGCAAGGCATGCTTCGTGCTCTACCTGCCACGATCTCCATCCATCAATTGTCAAAACCCAAAACCTACCTGCCAAATATAAATACGCTTCCCAACTTTTTCTCTCCTTCATCCATGGTCTTCAATCGTACCGTAACTTCTCTTCTATCTCCTTTCTTAAGTCTTTCCTGACTGCCTCTTTTCATTCTCTATTATTTAAACAACAACAACATCCACTGTTTCTAAGAGGCAACCCATGGAGGCTTTCGTTGCGCTGTTTCTTACAACTTTTGCCTTGGTGTTGGGTGCCGCTGTTGCTGACCCCGACTTGCTTCAGGATATATGTGTTGCCGATCTTTCCTCTGGTACTGCACTAATGCTCTTCTATCTTTTCTTCTTGCCGCTTGCCGTAATGATTAGCTTTTTATTACTGCTACTATCGTTTCTACCTTTAAAATGTCAGCCAATTAAGTTTCAGCTATTCAAAGAAGAGTGGCTCAGCCAAAAAAAAAAAAAGAACGAAAGCCTCGGAAAACTTTACATGCTACCGCTAATTGCTATACTGTATTTGGTAGCTGTTATTCAGTTTTCACCAGATCCACTTTTTTCTTTTCTTTTGTTTTTTTGGATAAAAACTAATCCTACTTCTCCAGCTGCACAATTGAAATGATGTATGTTGCTTCGATTGACAGCTTAATTGACCTCTTCACGAGTGGATTCTATTTGATCTCTTGCTAGTCGCTAAGCCTCATGATGGCTCATCTGACCTCTTTTTCTACCAGAATCAAATTAACATGAAATCTTTGAAGAATTTTGCTTCAATATTTGGATGATTCCAACAAAAATATATGGGCTTGCAGTTACAGTATGAGTTATGTACTAGCTCACTGATGCTTATTGTTATGTACTTGTACATATGCATAATACATATATGTGCCAACATAAACAGGAGTGAAAGTGAATGGATTCCCCTGCAAGAACCCCTCAAGCGTAGGAGCAGATGACTTCTTCTTTGCCGGTCTGGCCAAACCAGGCTTCACCAACAACACCTTGGGGTCGCTTGTCACAGGGGCCAATGTGGAAAAGATCCCAGGTCTCAATACCCTCGGCGTCTCCCTCTCTCGCATTGACTACGCCCCCGGTGGGCTCAACCCTCCCCACACCCACCCACGAGCAACCGAGATAGTGTTCGTGCTGGAAGGAGAGCTGGAGGTTGGCTTCATAACCACATCCAACGTATTGATATCAAAGTCGATCAGGAAGGGTGAAATATTTGTGTTCCCTAAAGGATTGGTGCATTTCCAGAAGAACATTGGGATGATGCCTGCTTCTGTTATAGCTGCCTTCAATAGTCAGTTGCCCGGAACACAGTCCCTTGCTGCCACCCTATTTGCAGCCACGCCAACAGTGCCTGATGATGTATTGAGCAAGGCATTCCAGATTGGTACAAAACAGGTTCAGAAAATTAAGTCCAGGTTGGCACCCAAAAAGTAGACTAAATTAAGCTTTGCTGTTGCTGCTGCTGTTGTTTAATAGTTGGAGAAGGAGAATTGGTGGGCAGCTTTTTAATGTGAATTTCTTGTCTCAGGCAGGGGGGAAAAGAGTTATCATATCTCAAACTGCAAGCTTTGTTTTCATTGTGAAAAGCCAATAAATATCGCAATAAATGGATTGCGTACACCCCTTCCATCATATGGGATAAAACCTTGGTGTACCATTGTTTATGTTTAATAACGATTTATGAACAAATAAGTAAACAACACTGAAGAAGCAAGGGTTAGCACTGGGAAAGAATATTGGCAGTGGTGGGTGAACTTCCAAGGTTTCATCACGCCCAGCTGTTGGTTTAATTTAATTGCAGCTTCTCTGGGGTTGCTGTGAACGTGATCAAAGAAAAACAAAAAAGATAAAAAAGCGTGGCTCAACTTCAAACTTGTTATCTTAAAAGCACAAACTAATCAAATGATCTTAAAGGACCGATTAGTTTAAGACAATAATTAAAATACTGCATTTTTGGTAATTTCAAGGGCCCTGCTCCAGTTGCTCCATTTGATTTGATTCTCTCTTGGAGCCAGCTAGAAATGATGGGCATAGCATTATTGTATCCGATTTCCAGACTATTAACAACCTGTATTAACAGTAGTAGACAAATCAGCAGGGCATGCCCATCATTTAATGTATGTAAACGTAAAAGATGTTGCCTAGAGGTGTGTGATCATCTGTATCCTATTACCGTAAGCTTGAATTGAAATAGAAAGTGGCGTAATGCCTTTGCGCCAACAGATGCGGGAATAGGAGTAGGATTTGTAGAATTGTATGAACCACCACGTTGTTTCTTGTTTGTCTGGTGATCTACCCAACTGTTTAATAGTAATTCTGACATTCTTCGTTTGTTTTAATGCACCCATCTTTTCTCTATTTTCTGTTTTTAAAGAAGACACTAACGGCCTACTACGGAATAACCAAAAGTGGCCACAAACACGATTAGAGTAATTAAGACATTGTAACCAACACTTGCCATTGTTTTGGACTACTCTTCATGGTTGTCCAAAACAAATCAATGTCTTTGAATGTCACTCGAATAGGAATGAACCCACCCATGTTAATAGTTGTACCATAAGGATTGAAAAAAAGAAAGCACTTATGTTCATAATGACCATAAAACACGAACCAGAAACTGTTACATCCACAATATTCATAAACTTGCTAACTTGCATGTCCATATATCAGCCAGAGAGAGAGAGAGAGAGAGAGGCAAGAGCTCATAATTTCTCCCCTCGTCTTTCAGGATCTGAATAAGATAGGGTAAAATTGCCTACTTCAACACACTTTGCTGCCTGCCATCAGGAATTGCGATCAAAACCACAGGCTTTGAAGGTCTAACAAAGGGAACATCACATCTGAAGTAGCCTTTCCTCTCCAGCTGCAATATCTCTCCTTGCTCTAAATTGCGCATGTTGGAATCTCCAACTGCTGCTATCTCCCTTTTTGTACATGGGTTTAGTACATCTAGGAAATCCTCTCCTTCTTCCAGCTGCATCCACAACAAATATAGAAAAAAAACCACATCCTCATACTAAGCACCACACACCTCGACCAAGTATCGAGCCATTATGGGACAACAATGAACTAAAATATATGATACTCCCTCCCATGGAGAAGCAGGGTGAAAATCCCACAAGTATCAAGAACACTGGGTTCAATTTCTAGCACATAATTCGTATTGCATAATTGTCAACAAATAACAATCAACATAACATTCATTATGCAACATTTGCATATGATTTATTATGCAGCCATGTTCATTGCACATGTGACATTACAAACAGGTATACATGTACATTTGCATGCAGGCACAAACATAATCCTCTATTGATTTTGGCATAAAAAGGAAGAGAAACAACCCTGAACTATGATTGATTTCCTGTTCAAGACAAGATGTTTCTCTATCAAATTGTATGAGTCAGTGCTAATTTTAAATTTGAAGGAGCACATGGTGAACAGTGTTCCACTATTTAGCTTGTGACAATTATAAATTTTAAACAAGGACAAAATTGAACCAGAAAGTATAGCTGTAAGTTAATAGTAAGAAGATACCTTCTTCTTTGTTATTAGATAGTCAAACTCCACTAATGAAAGGTTAACGAGTTCGCTTGTTTCTGCTAGCCATGTGAGCTTCAACTTTGTTGTCTTGACAGATCCTTCAAGATGCAAAACTCCGACTAACTGGGTGATGTTTCCATCCTGGTCCTTAATGATATCTTTCACGATGGCATTTCCCCAATCCATTAAGGTAACCTCCTCATTTACTGAGATGCAATCTGCATCAGCATGGTCTATCCATATCCTCCTTGTGTATGTAGTCGCTTTCTCTCCAGCACCATCATACTTCTTATGCCTTGGGATAATGCGAACAAATGGCTCATTAGGACCATTAGTTAAGGTCAACAACACGCGTCGTTCTTCAATAACTGCTGTATGTCTAGGACAAACAGGATCAATGATTTTCTTATTAATAGTCCAAAGTTTGTCCCATTCCATAAGATTGAGATTTTTCGATGCTCCCTGGAACAAAAGGATGAAAAAAATTAATATTCATTGGAATCAAAGCTTATACTCTAAAGCAAACTATGGTACTCCAAAACATTCAGTTGCACATTGTGAATGAGCCATGCAAACTCACTTGTTCCAAAATAAATTGTATCAAGGCCTCTATTTTCAGACCTCGGCGAACAATTCCTTGGACAGTTGGGAAACGGGGATCATCCCATCCATCTACTTTACCGTTTTGCACAAACCAGAGCAGCTTACGCTTGCTAAGAAGCGTATAGACCAAATTCAATCGACTAAACTCATATATGTGTACCTTTTGCATTCCCATATCCTCTTGAATCCTATAGTATTGAGCATTGCGATCGTGATACTCACTAGATCGGAGTGCATGTGTTATGCCTTCTTCAGCATCAACAAATGGACAAGCAAAATCATAAGTTGGGTATATCTTGTACTTGGATCCAATTCGATGGTGGGGAACTGGATTGCACCGGTGGTACACTGGATCCCTTAGAGATTTGTTAGGATCTTGCATGTCTAACTTCCCACGAAGGCAGCACTGCAAGCCCCTTTCAGAGCCAGCAACCATTTCCTTCCACAACTTCAAATTCTCCTCCACACTGTTGTTCCTACATTTCGATTCAATGCCATCCATCCTTTCCTTCTGCATTTCCTCACGTGGTGTATCATCCACATAGGCTTTACCTTCCTGTATCAACTTTTCTGCCATATCCATTAACTTTGGGAAGTAATCAGAAGTATAGGTGATCTTTTGATACTTGATACCCAAAGTCTCAACATCTTTTATAAGATTTTCTACAAATTCATTGCTTTCTTTGGTCGGATTTGTATCATCAAAGCGCAATATTACTTCACCTTGGTACCTTTGAGCAAAATAATGATTTAATAGGGCTGCTTTAGAGTGCCCTATGTGAAGATAACCGCTAGGTTCAGGAGCAAATCTCAACCGCACCTTCCCAATCTCAGCATCAGGAAGATCTACTTCAGCTGAAGGCCGGCTAGCAACTTTTTCCTTATCGGAAACATCCCCATTTACACTCTTTTGCTCTTTTCGTTTAGCTGCCACTGGCTTTCCCAAGCCTTTTTGGCCAACATAAAATGCTGTGACTTCCTTCAAGGCATCACTATATTCTGCAGAAACAGAATTGTACCAGCGAACAAGGTTTGGGTACTTGTTTGACTTCCTCATGCTTTCCCATCTTAGCCCAGTTCCTACAGGGCATAGAATATTTGTTAGGTACGGATAGATGGAAAGCCGTGAGAGATTACATTGAGAAAAATGAAGTTATAGTATGATGGTATACAAGTTGGAATCTTTTATGGGCTAGTCAACCCAAAAACAAAAAAGGAAGGATAAGATATAAAAGCAGCAGGTCATTTTCCGTTGGCGGTCAAGGAATTAACAGATATATAAGCTGCAAGGCAACCGTGATAAAGGGGAAAAAGTTGGATGAACCAAATGGCATGGGGTAACACAACAAAAAGGATGAATTTTGAAAGTTTACCAGCAAGACCAGACCAGATAGATATGTCAGCAATGGAGAAATAATGAGAAACGAGAAAGGTACGCTTCTCCAAATATGTGTCCAGGAAGCCGCAAGCATTCTCAAATTCAGAACCACCACATGAAAGGATAGGAGCATACTCCAGCCACTCATCAATCTGGGTAACGGAAAGAAAATATATTACTATCAAATCAAACGAAGCTTTCATTCTTTCTAATAAAAACTATATTTTCTATCAAGTCAAACGGAGCTTTCTTTCTAATAAAAAGGAGAAGAAAAAAAACATACTTGGGCGGCGTGGAAAGCCTCGTGGCCGTAGAAATTAGGAATGGTAGCAAGGCGACCGACGTAGCGGAGAATTACATTAGTTCCATGCAATTTGAACCTATTTATTACACAGAGACAGAATGGATTGAATTTATTATTATTTTTTTAATAAAAAAACTAAACCGTAAAGTTGAAAATTAAAACTAAGGAAAGCTAAAAGTATACCCGTTTGAGAAGGACAAAGTGGCAGAAGAAGAAGAAGAAGAGGAAGTCTGAGTTGGTAAATCGATTCCAGCAATCTTAGCGGCCGCAATGACAGAGAGTGGAGGGCTATCGGGGGGAAATGATAATTGTTTCGGGCCATGCTCCTCCATATTTAAGGAACAACAACACCTGCGATCAAGAAGGAAATTTTCTATTTATAGAGAGAAGAAAGGAATAATTGTAGAAACCGATCGGACAGGACAGCAAAAATGAACTCCCAAGTCAAGTTGATGGTTGGGTGAAGAGAAAGAACAAGGTATGAATGAATTCCCAAATAAACCTGAGCTGCTGAGGCGCCGCCAGGAAAGAATAGCGCAAGAAGCAGAGCAGTGCGAGGAAATAAGAGACGAGGCTGGTTTTGGTAGGGTACTGGACATGCTTTTGGAGATTTAAAACAACCGCCCCACACCCCACCCCATGTGAACTTCCTCTTTCTAGGCCCATTAGGCGTTAGCCTGGTTTGGACTTGAATGGTCATTGATCAAAAACAGTGGCCTCTCCGTTCGTTTGTTTTTCTTCTAGACTGCTAATTCCGTGAGGAGAAAATTGCGAAGGTATGCATGTAGTAAAATTTGGTAATTGTGTCAACATGTTATGGAAATTCAACTTGAAAACAACTTGTATTTTATAACAACGACTCACGCACTCTAACATTTGATTTAATAACCACAACTCATACACCCAAACATTTGATTCAAGTGTTTTTTATTATATCTTAGGATTGCAACTTCATATCAACCCTTAAACTTAGCCTTCACCATCTCAAAAAGCATAACTTCACAACAAACTCAAATCACAGTCTACAGCTACAAGCTCACCCAGCATGAACACACAAAAATGACTCCAACATATCAGATATCACTGAAACAATTACATGTTTCAATCCCTTCAATATGCAAGCAGTTGATTGCAACTACGCCTCTCACCCTTACTGGCCCATTCAATCCCTTACTAAATAACTGAAAACAAATCCTACACTCCCACCAACACAACTTATCCAAATACCTCTATCTGCAACTTCAAGTGCAAATCAACAAATAAAAACCACATGCTGTGGCATGACACAGTGCCAAACTCCAAATTTCTCCTTCACTGTACAAAACCATCGTCTCATTATTTCCATGAATATCAGTTAGGTTCTGGACCTATTTGCTGCAGCTAGTTCGATGGTCACGATGAAAGTTGACCTGCCTGCTTCCCTTAAATACTGGATATCTCCATTCATGAGTTTTACCAACTTTCGGCTGATGAGCAAACTGATACCCTCCTCTGATGCATCTCCATCACTTCCAAACATTTGGTTCAGCAATGCTTCTGGCACTCCGCCACCTGCATGTGTTATCCTGCCCCCAAAATATATACAAAATCCTTTTACTTTGGCTGACTTCATAAAAGGAAGACTTCACTTGTGCCTAAAACTAAGGCATATCACATACATATGCCAGCTACATATACTTACTACTGATGAATTAATATGAAAAAAGAGGAACATGATGCACTTAATTTGGCGCGCAGGCACATTCTCCTTTTTTTTTTTTTAATGTACTTTTAGGATATCTCCAACTATCAGTATGAATGCATATTTATGAAAGAAAGTAGTACCTGAGCTCCAAATGTGCAAGATGAACAGACTGTCCAAGTTTATCTTTGGTCAAGCTAGCTACAACAACAAGTTGGCCTCCATTTGGTGTAAAATTAACTGATATCAACAAGAAATCAGCCAAGACCTGTTGAAGTCTAACACTATCTCCATACAAGGTCTCAGTCATGACCTCTTCTTCTGTATCATTGACTATGCGGATACCTTTCCCATTGCTCTTCATCATCACTTGACTAATAGAAGCAACCAATACCTCATGCAGGGTGAAGTCAATCATTTCAAGATCCAAGTAGCTATTAGAATTCAGAAAACAGAAAGAAGGGAAAAAGTTAAGAAAGTTAAGCACTAGACAATAAAAATCACACATCCAAAGTACTGAGGGTTACACAACCAAGACTTATATAAATGGAGAGGCTTGTCAAGAGAGTAGGAAATGCTTATATAGTTAAAAATTTCAATTCTGACTGAGAACAAGATGAGAGAAACCATAGCAGAAGTTTAAGGAAATTGATGTCATTATGCATAAAGGATTTATGGTTCTCTAGGGAAGAGAAGGAAAAGATGGAGAGAAATTATGCATCAAGAAAGAACAAGTCCAGAATATTAGAAAAGCCATCCATGTGGGTGGTGAACAAAGTTTGATAAAACCCCTGATGTTTGGACTCAGAAAATATGCTATCGCTATATGCTTGGGCTTAAAAGTTCCAAAGAATACAAAGCCATATTAATCCTGAAGCAACAAAATTTGGGCTAATAAAATGAATCAAGTTTAAGTTAATAGTTTCATGTAAAGCTTTGTAACACATAGTCTTATGTCTGACAGTAAGAAAATGTTTCAAAAGTTTATGCTGCAGCTGTTTATTGCTGATATTAAAAAATAATAATAATAAGATCATGTTTTAAAGGATGTTTTCATACCCGTCAATGATGCTATCAAGATCTGAATCATCAAGTATTTTGCTAAGCTGGCGCTGGCACAGGGTACTAGTCTGCAGAAGGTGTTTTTGTTCTGGTCCCAATTCTGTGCCCTCCATCATTTTCCTTGAAAAAATAATCCCAGAAAGAGGATTACGGATCTGCCTTTTCAGATAAGCTAATGCTTTCAATCTTTTCATGGCAGTTTGCTCTGATAATCGCTGGACATGAAGTGCTTGTTGCAGCTCATGGCTTGCCAGCTGCAAGAAACAAAAGACACCAGTGACAGCACCCTCTCTGTCCAATTTCTTATTTACACATAACAAGCATTCTACATACTTTCCACTGCGAGCAAAGAAACCAAAAGGAACCTTTTCAGGCTCATGACCGGTCACGGCATTATTAAGTACAACACCAAGATTGACAAAAGATTCTTGATTCTTGAGACGACAGCATGCAATGTGGGTCCCAAAAACCTCCCCCAACAGCATTTTATCTACCACTTCGTCTCGCTTCCACCCAGTTAACTTTGTCATAGCTGGATTCCACTCAGAGCACCAGCCAAATTCATCCATGCCAAATATGGGAGGAATCAGTGGGTTTGGATTTTGTACAATTGCTTTGTAATCACCTTCAATCCGGGTGAATTTGTCCATGACAATCTTCTGACCAGTTATATCTTGTGCCACAAAACAAACCCCCACAACATTTTCATGAAGATCCCTGTTTGCACAAGCATTGACAACTAAACTGATGGGGCCAGCCTCAATCCTTGACCCATGAGTTTTGATCTCAAATTGGATGTTCTTTTCTTCCTTGCCTGATCAGGAAAAGCATTTTTAATTACATAAAAGGAAACTAAATGGAAACAGGGAAACAGAAAAAACAGCAAGAAGAAAGAACCTTTCACATTCAGCATTAATGTCAGTGAGCTAACATGCTGCAGAACTCATGTACATCAAAACACACTCAGTAAATCAACTTAATAAAATATGAAGAAATGGAATATTACATACCCTGCAATGCCAGTAATAACATTTGCTTGACAGTTTCAATAGAAGAATCTTCAACAAGTGTGAGTAAATGCTTTCCAATTGCTTTATCAACAGGAAGACCAGTCAACTCGGCAATTTTCATATTCCACCCATTAACCAAGCCATCAACATCAACAGCCAAAATTGGCACCGTCGCTGTTTCGATTAAACGAACCATCTCACTTGTCACTGCCTCCAGTTCTTGCATCCCTTCTATTTTGAGGTCACTGAGCTTTGAATGTATGGCAGTAGTGTTAGTATCTGTGGTCTCATTATCTTTGAATGCATTCCTTAGAATAAGCTGCAAAGAATGGATTGCATCCATTTCATAGTCCTTCCATGGCATACTCCTCGTCTTGACAACTTCAAGGAAAGCCTTGAATGATGACCTTGGGTGCATCTTCCTGCCATCATCCTTCTCACCAAGTTCATGCTTTGCACCACCCCATCGAATTTCTGCAGCAGTATGGGACCGGAACCAGAAAAGCATATCCTTGAGGGTTATCCTCACAGCTGCCATTCCACATACTACATCGCCAAGAGCCAATGCCCCTGGGAACCCAGCATCATACAAGCTATCAGTACTCAGACCTGTGGAATCCATATGATACTCAGAAAGCCATGATGCTATCTCATGCAGCTGGAAATCACTTGGAGTTACTCCTAGTTTCCATATTTTGTTCTTGTATAATAAGGCAGCCCCATCACATTTCACCAAATCCATTATGTTTGGGCTTTGTGATACAATACCCATGGGTGCATCCCGCAAAAGCATATCACACAAAAGGGTCTGGGTACGCAGAATATTCTTCTCGATAATTTGATTTTCCAACTCTATCTCCTTATTGACATGGATGGCAAAGACTTGAGCTAGAAACTCACAGGCATACCTGAGGGGGAATGGAACAAACCTAGGAGTGGTGTTATGGCACACTACCAAACCCCACAGTCTCTTTCTTTTTTGTTGTGGCTGTGCAGAATCAGGGCCATCGCCCTCTTCATCTCCATCATTGACAATAACAGCCATAACCAGAGAAGCAATGGAATTCATGTTCTCCATATACTGTAAATGGCAGCTGTGTGGGGCCCTTAGGGTTGAACCACACAAGGTTAGGTCAAAAGGAAGCTTATCATCTTGAAATACTTTTACATGTTTTGCGCGACAATCAACAATCATGCGGACTTTATTCTTCATAAACAAAAATCGAGCAGCCTGAGGGATATCAGTGGCTGGATAATGCAAACCTAAGTAAGGCTCTAGGCCTGGCTTTGTTATCTCAGAAACCACTTCCCCATGGTCGTCATCGTGAAATTTATAGGCCATCACCCTGTCATAACCAGTGAGTTCAAAAACCTCCTGCACCATTGTATCACAAAGCCTTTCCATGTTCCCACTAGGCAGAGACTGCAAGCGAGTAATTGCTTTTGCCGCTAGCTTGTATGACTGCAAGGCCCCAGCAGCAGTCATGGGAACTTCATAGGGCTTTACAGGTTCAAAATCAATGATCAAGCTCCCTGTTACCCGATGGATTATCGCGTAAAAGGGCTTCCCAGAAGTCTTGCAATGGACCAAGATTGGATTCAAAAGAGAAACCTCCCCAATTCCTAGGGCCTTTAGCAATGCAGAGGAACTGGGGGCTGTGAAAATAGTTTTTATGTCAGTTCCAATGCCAAGAACTGGGTGGTCCCCAACACTCGGGACTGCATGACTAACCATGGTCAACATTTCAGGGGAATTCTCACTGTATGCTATGACCTTGTAAGTTTTCTCATCTAAGGCTAGCAAGCACCCAAAGGGTTGGATGAATTTGCCTTTCTGTATTTGATGGAGATAAGCTGTGGTAACCTTGTCTGACCTAAGTTGATGGTCTCCACTTACACGCACCGAACTTGAATAGTCAAAGGAGCTACCGGACTCCTCAAAATCTGCATGGAGTTTTGCATCAACTGTGGTTGAGGATAAATCCTGACACTGTGCCTTGATCTCCCAGAGTTGCTAGATGAATGACTTGGCCTTGAAGAAGACATTTTCTCCTGAAACTTAATTATATAAGCAAAAGAAGAGATCTCCATGAATAACAACCACCAGGAAAGAATGCTTAACTATTGAAAGTAGAAACAGGTCTTGACATTATTGCCACTGTTCCTGAACATGATCAGGATCAGGAACATTATCATAACAAGTTTATCAATAGAAATTGTAGCCGAGCCGGAAAATGCCAAAAATTCTAACACTTTTTATCACCAATTCATGAAAAGAAAACAAAGAAGTCGACAATATTGACATCTAAACCCGTAAATAATCCTGATTTTCCTATAGCATTACAAAAGAAAAGTTGCCCCGTCTGTTTTTTTTTTTTTTTTGCATTATTGAGAGAAAGCTAGGATAACACAAAATTTCAGAGAGTCGCAAACGAGTCCTATGAATGATTTTTGTTCTATAGAAATGATGTCCTCTTCCATCAATAACTGCAGCATATGAGCAGACCAATTACCCAAGTTCCAGACTTACGGTTGCTATAATATTCAGTAACCTTAATCATGATCATCCCCAACACCACACCCACCACACCCCCCCCCCCCCCAAAAAAAAAAAAAAAGATACGAAAAAAGTGGCTCAGCTAAAAGGAATCCCTCCCATCATAATTCATCAGACATGGTAGAGCAAGGTCATAGAACAAACTGGCTATTGCAAAACAATAATCCACATAGCTATTAAGCTGAAATAGTAGCGATTAATTAATTCAGTGATGAACGCACACTCTCATAAAAAAGAAAGATAGAAAGGTGTGTAAGGAGCTAACCTTTGTTGATACGAGCAGAGGAAGCAAAAGGACAACTGCTATCTGTAACTGTGATGGGAAGAAGAAGAGGTAGTTCGCAGAAGAGCTTGGAAATGAGAATCCCAAGCTCGGCCAGTAAACCCAGAATCCATCTCCAATCTCATTATAGAAGCAACGCACAAAAAAACTCGACCACCGCCTTGAAAGACTAGCACTTTACCATTACCAGCTAGCAGGGACCACCATGATAACATAAAATAATAATATAATAATTACACGATTTCGTGGTGGCATGCAATTGGCATCCTCCAACACGAAGATATAATAAAATAAGCAGCATGGGTTTCCAAAACAAGGATAACAGTGGCAGTTATGTTATCATTGGCTTTCTATAATTGTTTATTGAATCAAGTCTTGTGGGCTGTGGCTTCATTTAATAAAGAAATCTACTTTCTATATTGGATCACTTGGTTGTTCCCCATAAAATATAGTATACAATAGGAAAAATCCACCAGTGGGAGATATGGAATGATGGAATTATCGTTTATGGATGATAATAAATATAAAATAAAATAAAATAAAGAAACTCGTAGCGAGGTACAGGAGGCGTGAGGCCGAGATGGGATCCAAGGAAAGAGGAAGGCGGCTACTGGTTAGAACTAGTAGCAACGCAGAGGCAGCCCATGCCCAATTGTGCTTTTCCTTTGGGTGCCCATTTCCCTTTGCCTTAATCAAAACTGGACCTAATACCAACAAAAATATGCGCTAGGGCATTCACGTGTGTTAGGTAGAGTTTGGCCATACCACAATCCAAACTAGAAACAAATATAAATGGCGGACAGACTCGTTGCCTGTGTAGGGTCCACGCCCTATTTCCTTCCGCCTAAGTGCCTAACTCTTCCCCTTTATCCGCTTCAACAGGATCTCCTCATTACAGCGCTTCTGAGCTGTGAGCGGTCAGGGGCAGCTGTTGATCTACAACTGCATACATGATACATGGATGATGGGTCCTTTGCCATTGTCATCTTCAACCACCCTTTGTTGGCTCCATCCCCCAACGCCAGCTTGGTGAAAATTAGTTGACTAGAAGAAATTATGCACAAAAGCATGTGGCTCACTTGCTCATCAAGCCATCATTATCAAATTTTGTGCTCAAAATAAAGTGAGCCAAGGCATGACCATCAGGGTCAAGATCTCGACTAGTGATAGAGAAGGATACAGTGTTTCAAGGCTTTTAGCCCTTCATCATCCTGACCACTTCACATTGAGGGTTTGTTCTAGGAGAGAAACAATCTCAATAAGACTTCGGAGGAATCTGTTTCCACTGGAAGCTCTGCAAGACAGACCCAATTGCATCGCACACCAAATATGTATGGTCATGTAGCTTCTACTGCTGAGAGGTAAGATTAAAGCAGAACTTGGCTTTGTTTGAGCCAGCCTCGCTTACACCCCGTAACAGGATTTCTAGTTTGAACAGCGCCAGCGGACAAAGACACACATCTCCCTCATTTTTCATCTCATCTTTTCCCCATACCTTGTACGCTTGTAACAATATAGAGACTAGTAATTATATTCCGCAAGTATACTCCTGTTACGAGACTTGATTACGTACTCCAAAACGTAAGTGGCATATCAAAACCTACAAAGCATGCCAATAGTCCTTAAGCATAGGACTACAGGCATCACTGATTCAGCTTCTGGTACGATTGCAGGGTTACAGTAATCTGTCAATTGTTTATAGTTACCATCCTTAAATTATTCCATCCACAAGGCTTGCTTGTTCAGTCAGGACAGGCTTAACATTTACTGCCAAATAGAGCATCCAAGTGCCTGAATTTGTTTAGTTTCATATCGAATATGCTTACATGATGCCACTGGGGGATAACAAGTTGAGAAAATTCCATTTTTCCCATTAATCTATCATGCCCGGCCCGGTTACCATGCATTTATTTGGTTCAGTATCCTGAAATCAAGCACAAGAATTCAGTCAACAGTGTAAGCCCTATCACCATTATAACAGGACTCTGAGCTGTCCTAACAAGGTTATTGCAACGGGCTTGTGTTATTACCAGTATGTAACCGCAGCTAAATTTGGACATAAGCTTCTTTTAACAAGCTCACATTCTGCTTGCTGACTGGGGCACCGCAATTTATCTGTGGTCAGGTTACTTGCAAAGAGATTAATGATCAAGAGCCTTCAAAGAAGAAGCTAGGTGTGATTTCCACCAAACTTCAAACTTCTTTTTGTATGGGCTCCTCTTCAGATTTCTCGCCAAAAAATTTTAATTTCCAACAAAGGATATCCGCTCATGCTATTATAACATCACGACCCGCCTAAAACTGCTAGAAATGTGTTGATATGATGTTTCCTTGTCCACCTATTTCACGAATCATAAGCAAGATGTATCAGCAGAGCACACAACTGTATATGTGCAAATTCTATTGTAATAACAGGTACTTGCGCTTTCCTTAAATAAATGCTTCAGGGCCTGTCGCTCTCCTTTCTACTATTGGTATCTTTAGAGGCAGTGCACTGGAAAGAATCATGATAATAGAATCAACAAGAAGCCCAGCAGATGTCTTTTCCTTACCAATAAAGTATAAAGGATATAGCACGTCTGGTGGGTATGTTTTAATACTTGTTATATGAGGAAATGAGGATTACACCCTTCATTTTCGTGAGATTTGCTACCAAGTGATCACTGCAACATCTAGAATTGTTAGAAAAATTCCAACACTGAGATCACATATCTGAGGGAAAGAAGTAATTAAGAAAGCGGCATTAGCAATACAAATATTGCACTACTTCTCTGTTGGCAGAGAAACTATACATTAACTTTTTAGTAACATCAGAAAGCTTTTCCACCTTTTGCTCAGCGCCAAAAGGAAACTATACTTCATTAGTGACTAGGAAGTAGAAAGAACACGAAGACTCAAATCAAAGTCTGCAAAACACCAGAGAAACTGCTTCTTTCACCACGATAGCAAACACAATTAGAGGAGTCCTAACTTTGCCATGAAACATGTAATACAAACAAAACAAGAATTTTCCCAATCATACACAAGACAACTAAATCCAAATGCCACAAACAAAAAGTGGGAAGAGTCTCTGTTTGTTGCTGTTGTAATTCTTCCAATAGAATGAAACTATGTTTTATCATCAGATGATACATCCTTCATCTCTTATCCACAAGGTTGAGAATCTTCAAGAGCAACCTTACAATATGTCCCAACGAAATTAATCAACTTTTTTTATATGCAACTTGAATTCATAATTATAAATAAAGCGCATAACAGTTGTTTTCTGACAAACGACTGCCCTTCTACAGGTAACATGCTGCAGCAGTTGAATATATAAGTTTGACAAACTACAAATATCTCAACACAGTTTTTGGAGGGAACTGTTAAGGACTAGAAATTGAAAACAAGAAAGAGGAACTTCAGATTCCTTCACAAAAGAACACTGAAAAATAACCTATACAACACTCAAATCAGGTCTTTCAAGCAATAAAGAGAGAGGAGTACAGCACTATTATTCACAAGCTATGAAGAATAATCAGATAAAAAAAGTCTTTACATTTTGAAAGAGTTGAAGAGTTTCAGCCACCTTTTTCATATTTCAAAAGAAAATTGAATAAAGAACTCTTTTTTTTTTTTTTTTCCTTTTACCATTTTACACGCTCGTCATGCTGAATTGGCAAAACCTGGCGGTAGAGGTTTCTCAAGGAACAAAGCAACGTGCTGCGAGGTTTGTCATAGATGTGATTGCTTAAAATTTATCTGACTCAGGAACTCAGCCATATCTAGCAAGAGCAGGGCAGCCCAAATTGGTGTCTCCTGTAAATTATAATATCTGATCTATTTTCGGCTGAAGATTTGCGATTCCAGAACATATTGACCGACTTCAACAAAAATTTGCAATTAATCTGAAACTTGTGCGCCGTTCTGGAAATCATGTCAACAATCAAAAGCACACCACAAATGGCAACAACAGAAAGAATAATAGCGGCATTACGGAAGAATTTCAAAGTATTGATATATTAATTATTAAACTGAATGGGGATTGCATTCTTTGCAGTAGAAATGATTGCTCTCAATCAAAGCTTTGAGCATCTCATATGTGAAGGTGGGATCATTGGGGTCGCTTCTTTTGGAATCAGCAGGTGATTCCAAAGTACGGGGTTGCATGCAGCAAAAGCCACTGCAAACACCACCACCGGCATCAACCCTTTTACCTGAAGATGAGAAAGAAGACAGCTTTGCACGGGTTTTTGTTTGTTTCTTCTTCTTAGACTTTGCAAATGGAAACAGGACAACCTGCTTGACCTTTTCCTCTATGAAATCCCTTTTACACGCACATCCATCAAAATCAATTCTGCGGGAGTGGGACGCTCCACCGCCAGTATCTTGATCATCGTCATCATCAGCAACTCCGCAACTAACTTGGGATATCTCCCTTTCCGCCTCAGACGTCAACATAAAAGAATGTATAGACTTATCGGGATTGGAGAGAGAAAGAAGGAGAGATCAAGGCCGGTGGTCTAGAACGGAACAAGAGAAATTCAGATAAGCATCATCAAGGGAAGCCATTGGCGCTGCGCTGAAAATTCTTAAAAAAGAAACCAAAAGCGGATAAAATTTTAGATTGATCAGAATTCAGGGGAGAAACTCAATAGTCAAGTGGAGATCTCCCGAAAAATTTGAACTTTGAACACAAAAACAGAGGTGGAGTTAACGTAGATTTCTTCCCCAGAGGCGCCTGCCGGGTGGGCAAACTGTTCTTGTTGCAGGTCATTGATTAGTTTTTTTTTTTTAATATGAAAAGGGCTTTAATTAGTTTTAAAAAGGCTAAACCCTAAATCGAACTAACTAAATTAAGATTATTGATTGCTAATTAACAAATAATAAAGTGTCATCTAATCTAATGTATACTGATTCTTACTTTCGAAAGCGCTTT